AATATAATAAATGTAATCTTGGTTAATAGTGTGTATATCTATCTGAACGATAAAAAAGATTTTAAAAATACCTTCAGCCCACATTAGAGCATACGTGATCCTAACATCAGTTATCTGGGGTTTCACTCATCGGATTTCATTTCACGCCTTTACAGAGTGTCAAGAATGTGGAAATGAGTGAGATGCAGTTACTAATCATCACCACTAGTCTGCAGCCTAAAGCTAGCAATGGGACAAAAGTAAATCTGCAAGTGAACAAACATCCCACTCTTCACTATTTCATTTCGAGTCCACTGATCAATTATTGGGGGCTGTTAAAGGGACTAAGGGCAACATCTTTGACTTCTAAAACTTTGACAGAAAACATTAAGCTATTGTCTACAAGTATGGAATTTAAAATTTGAGTTAATTTAACAGATAGGGAAAGATGTGATTTAGTTGCATTATGGGACTTGTAAACATTGTTTTTGGAGTTTTGAGCTAAAAGCCAGGATTTCTTTACCTTTGATGCAGATGCTGACCATCTTTTCTTTTTCAAAATCATTTTTGGGAAATTTACTCTGTGCATCCCTCATCATTAATGACCATGTATTTGGTCATAATTGGCTAAACCGTCTAAACTATTTTGTAATGATTAAACCGATAAAAATGATAAAAATGATTACTCAGTGTTCCTAAAGGGAAACTTATTACATATTTTTATTTACACACACTTATTTGTTTTCCATGCCAAAATGTGCCCCTAGATCCTTGTTGAATCAGTGCTTGCATTTTTGGCTCTAGATAAGTATAGTAGCTGTTTTACATTGGGCCCTCAGCAGTCTGCTTATTGGCTGGATTGAAGAGTTTCGAACTGTGATTTGTCGGTTAATATAATGTCATATTCCAGCTTTTTTGAGGCATTATTGTGAAACGCCGGCACTGATCAGGACATGGTTCCTGTTTAAATATGCACAGGTTGATGCTAAGTCTCAAGTGTTTTATACACCACAATAAATACTCTGACTCTTTGCATGTAAGGTTTTCTGGCACACCTATATGATGACCATGTGCAGGACGTCTTCAACGGTTTGCAGACATCCTACGTAAAACTTAATCCTCATTTTGCATCGCAAATAACTTTCCCACAAACTCTCAGTGAAACTCCTCACTCTGGATCTGACACCTGCCCTCTGTAACTGGGTGCTGAGCGTCCTCTCAGGCAAACCCAATTAGTCAGAGTTGGCATTCGCAGCTCCAACACAAGAACTGTGAGCTCAGGCACTCCCCAGGGGTGAGTACTGGGTCCCCTGCTACACCCTCTTCACGTACGCCTACGTGGCCTCCAAGGAAAAACACCAGTACCATCAAGTTAGAAGAGGATACTACGGTCACTGGAATGATCACTGGTGGGGCCGAGGCTGCGTACAGAAGAGAAGTGGAGGAACGTGCGGCCTGGTATCAAAATAATAATGTCTCCCTGAACCCCTACAAGACCGAGGAGATGATTATTGACCCAAGGAGGTGCAGCACACACCGCTTTACATTGGTGAGACTGAGGTGGAAAGGGTGAAAACCTTTACATTTCTGGGAACTCACATCAGCGAGGACTTCACCTGGTCTCACAACTCATTCCAGATCACAGAAAAGGCCCGGCAGAGGCCGTACTTGCTAAGAAGGCAGAGGAAGTTTGGTATGCAAGCCGAAATTCTCAGCAACTCCTACAGCGGTACGGTTGAGAGCGTCCTCACCACATCAATCACCATGCTGTATGGACACTGCCCAGGACAGGAAGGCACACCAGTGTGTAATAAAAACAGCATAGTTCATCTGAGGAGCAGCCTTCCCCTCACTACTAGGACATTTACTCCACCAGGGAGAGAGCCCACAACATGATCACGGACAGAACTCCCCCCCAGCACAGACTCCTCTCGCAGCAGTCTGAAGTCCAGAACCAAGAGACTAGCAAGCAGTTTTTAACCGCAGGCCATCAGGCTGGTGCTCACAATACACCCCCCCCCCTCCCCCCACCACTGATAACAGCCCCACTACACACACACAGACACACACATACTGATCTGTGACTTCATGTCACAATATTGGCAATATTGCATGTTGCACTTTATATATTGCTCTTTAGACACACATGACAACAAATATCTTGAATCATACATGAAAAGGTTAAGGTCAAAAGGTCAATGAACAACAATCAACAACCTTTTGTTTCACACAGGGCCACCAGTGATCCCCCGGGTGAAAGAGCGGCTCTTCACCTCCTGCTCACCTGCCCCCACTTCCCCGTTTGTGAGTCCTTAGTTGTTCAAGCCTCTGTCCTCTCTCCATTCCTCTTCTCTTCGTAAGTTTCTTCTTGATTAAGAATATTTTTAAAGGCTATTTTATTACTTTCACGACTTTGAATATACTACGCTGCCATTTTCACATCCTGACTTGAGAAAAAAAACATCTTTCATGATGTCTTAGTCAACACAATATCACTGATTCTGCTAAAGAGACAGATATAGTTTTCAGTTAGTGGAGAAGAAAACTGAATTAAAAGCAGTGTCGGGCAAGTTACTGAAAATGAGTATTTAGTTACAGTTACTAGTTACTTCTTTTAAAGGTAATTGAATTACTTGGTTACTGTGTATCAAAAGTAATTAGTTACTCTGGGAAGTAACTTTTAAGTTACTTTTATGTCTGCTTTTTAAATGTAATGAATATAAATAGTACTGAACAGTCAAACACAACAAACATATTTTTTAGACCTATTTATTGTAATCAACAGGGCAACAGGCCTTCAAATCAAGCAATGGTACAAAAGTCCTTTTTAATACTTAACTTAATACAAAATAACTGTTTCAGGCATTTGCCTGAAGGCAACTGACTCAACAGTTGACAGGATGCATCTCATCTTCAACATAGCGAGCAATCAATCTATTCAGCTCTGCCCGGTTTATCGGCTGCACTGCAGTCCGTGTAAAGTGGAGCCGTGGTTGTTTGCGTGGAGCGGCGCCTGCAGCATCCGCGGGCCTGCGCTCTTTCGTCATGAGCAACGCGATGCTGTTTACATGCACGTACGGCGACTATTCTGTGACACACAACGTTTGGTGGCCACAACTATTTTGTGCTGACAGGCAGCTATTTACTTACTATTTGCCGGCCCTCCGCTTCGCGTCACAAAAGAGAGTAACGCGAGTAACGAACTCATTTCAATTTCAGTAATTGTAACTGCGTTAATTTATAAAAAAAACACTTCGTTACATGCTCGTTACCGCTAAAAGTAGTGGAATTACAGTAATGCGTTACTTTGTAACGCGTAATGCAAATTATACAAATTGTACTTTGTAATGCGTTACTTTGTAACGCGTTACTCCCAACACTGATTAAAAGTATTAATGAACCAATATTCATTGAGGGGACAGATTAATTGCTATAGACAAATAAAGTTCCTCTGTTTAGGGAAATTGAGACATGTTAAACATGACATGACATGAGTTTACAACTTGTTTCTATTTCTCCCAAGCAGCCAGAAAAGTTTTTTTACAGGTATAAAAAAAGGTTCTTAACATTTTTTCCTGCTAAAGAAAAATTATATTGATAAACATTAGTTACAAATGTTGCATCTTCATAAGATCTGAAAAAACAAAACAATGCTCAAAATACTGTCAGATAATTTATACTTAACTCAGCATGGTATTCGCTTACTTCTACTGTGTATAAAAATGTGAATTAATTATTCATACTTATAATCCTGAGATCCACTGCAATAATATTATGTCATACACAGCAGAGCTCTTAAGATCGCAGACTTTCGGCACCCTTTTGCAATGGTAACTGTGTACGCCATGTCAGCTGGTAGAAGACGTCTCCACACTATATGTCCTTGGGAAAAGAACATGGCGGCCCGGCACTCGGATGTGCACAAAGCCCCCTGCTTCTTTATGTTATCTTTCAACCATATATTACCGCTCCGAAGATAAAGACTCTTTAGCCTCGGCGCATGACGCATGACTATTTTTCAAACATCCAATGAAAGTCAAAGTCATAATAAATATATCATAGTATTTCATGAAAATATCTGAGTGAAGTACGTCACAAAAGCTTAGAGGAAAGTTACAGTACAGTTGGAAGAGACATATAAAAAACAAATGTCATGGTATAGTGTGTCTTAAACGGACATAGTATTGATTGTCACAAAAAAGTAAGAACATTTTTTCGTATTTCAAAAAGAAATGTGAAAAATGATTATCACAAAAAATGTTGTGGAATGGCATTTCATAAAAAATGTCTTTGTACAGTAGCATAAAACGCATAATGAAGAAGTAAAAATCTTCAACTCTTTCAACTAATCAACGGTACACGTTCAATAAGCAATGATCTCTGCCTAAAAACGCTTTGTACCAATTACTTAATGCCACGTGACCTGAAGAAGAGGAACTGGTTAACTAGCTGACATACAGTAGCACGATATTGAAATCCCTTTACTAATGAGAATGAGAAATCAAAATCTAATGTGTGGTCATTTAAGCTGTGATCGTGTCAGACACAAAGGATTTTGAACTCCATTACATCATCACATTGTTTCTGACCTCAGGTTAACAACAGAGAACAATGACTATAAAGATACAGGGGTAAAGTCCTATAATAAATGCCGTCTTTGTTATGCAGTTGCTCCTCACAGGCTTTGGTAAAAGGCAAAAAAATACTTACTACGCATTTCATAAAATGACGGATGAATGAGGGATCTGATGGACGGGGAAGACAGACGGAGGTAGAGAAATGCAAAGAGAGAGAGAGAGAGAGAGAGAGAGAGAGATGCAAACAAAATGAAAAATGTTTGCAGGCTGCCCTGCCCCCTCATCACTCCCTGGGGAACAAGGGATTATGGAAATGTATAAATGCAGGGGAGAGGGCGAGTGACAGACAGAGAGAGGAGGGAGAGAAAAAGAGAGAGAGAGAAAGGAGAGAGCAAATAAGAGCGAGGGAGACTGCGATGCTATTGGTTGCCCGTTACAACATCAAGGCTGATAGAAATATTTCTCTCGCAGTCTAAGAACCAGAGGGTGAGACGGACAGACACAGTAGACTAAGGAAACACATTCAGGTGTGTTCCTAAAATCTCTGCAAGAGATACAAAAGAGGACTATAGAAAGGGAAATAAAGAGGGTGAGACCATAGAAAGGTGGACTAATTAACTCATGACTACCAAGAGCGATGGAGATTTTTTCTTAAGAGCAGAAGATATTTCTAAATCAGAATACATGAGACTCAGCATGTAGACGTTCCGCAGGATTCGGTTTAAATTTCCTCTTCTCCTCCCTCACCCAGAATTGAATAATTTATCCTGCGTATCAGCAGACAAATCTCAATGTTTTTGGAGAAATCCGGGGGATGCGTCTGAGAGAAAGATGCTCAGCAGAGAATTCTGACATGGTGACGATCCAAATTGAAAGAGACGAGGAAAGAGTGGACTGTTGAGTGGCAGACACGTCTCCAACAAGACACAGGTATTCTCTACTCGATATTAAGATTGGTCAAGATATTAATCCGTCCTTACTCAAATTGTTATAAATATTGTACTCTTGTATTTGTAAGTCGGTGTGCGATTTTGGCATTGTGATGATAATCTGATTCATTTGATCATTTGAAAGTCAATCGCAGTATTTGTTGCCTCGCAGGTTCATATTATTAAGTTATTTTATGACATCATTTTATTCCAAAATCACCAAAAATTTGCAGTGGCAGAATATAAGCCCCATAACTATTTAGCGTGCAAAGCAATACCTTGTATCTTCAGCAAATTATCAGTTTCATGCAGTGGTAAATAAATATTCTTCCCCCAAAGCTGTGAAATAAGTAATATAGCAAGAGACTGTCTCTGTAAATAACTCACTGGTGACCTGCAACCTATAGTTGTTTACACCTGTGTTAAATAGATAAGACAGATAAACCGAAAGCCATTCAACAAACTCATGAACTATCACAAGCCATATCCATCTGAGACAACAATCCTCACTGTTATTTAAAGACGGTCCTGTGCTTAGTATCGACAAGAATCCTGTGCTTCTGTTGACATAGCGTCTGCCAGACACTTTGGGGCTTGCGACACTGTGAAAAACAGAAATGTGTTGGCTTTGTCTGAAGAGAAACTACATGGAGGAGGAGGAGACAGACATCTTGCCTGTCAGAGGCTGAAAAAGGGAGCATTAGGCCAGTGGCAGACAACTGTGGCTGTGAAAAGACATTTAAGCGTTTTCCTATATCAAAGCCGGGCTCCCCCCTGCCGCCACAAATACAAAAAAGAGACAACAGCACGAGTGCAACAAGGAAAGCCAAGATGATTATTGATTTTTGCTAAAAACGGAGGCATCTGCCCTCCTGGACGACACAGACTCCGCTCGCGTCGGAGGGGGAAACAGAAAATAACCTCCACTGAACGGAGGCAAAACCACAGCCAGAGAGATAGAGAGCAAGGGATTTCCCTTCCTCTCTCTCTCGACCCATCTCGGCATCAAGCTGGCAGACTCAGCCATGGCATTCACCTTTGCGGCCTTCTGCTACATGCTCACCTTGGTGCTGTGCGCCGCTCTCATCTTCTTCGTCATATGGCAGGTGAGTAGCACCGCGCACGGCGGAGAACACTGCACTCACACTGAAAGTGAAATAGGAAACACGTAGGGGCCTGCGAGCGTCCACGCTCCATCCCGCACACGCAGACACACACATCCACCAACGCAGGAGCGAAGCCAACACGTGACACGTTCAGGTGCTCTACAGGTAATGGCATGCATAAGTGTGTCGGCTGAATCTCAGTGGAATTGTGCCTGACTGACATTGAGAAGTGTCTCTTGAAATCCACCAAATAACGCTTTATTCCTTTTAATTTCAAACATTTAGCTGCAAAGTGATAATCGGTTGAAACAGACCACAGAGGATGTGCATTGTTGTTAAAGTCATCTGTGTGTTTCATTGTTTCCATACAGCATTCTAACCTGCTTACCAGTGTAATTTACCTGAGCTTTTCTGACGCTGACATATTTGACAAAAAGACAGATTCCAACCACCTCCATCCCTTCACAGACAAGCAACTTAGTGACAATAAACAGTTCCTCAAACAAGGTGTTCACGCTTCAGCAAACTCCAAAAAATGCGTACAGGGAGGCGGCAAAACACAATAATCATAAATCTGTCTGCCAGGGTGTTGTGAATCGCTCCGCCTGAGGCATTGTGACTGGAATTTGCCTGCACAAGTGCTGACGAAACAAACACCAAAGCTTTCATCCCTGACCCTTAACACTGGATCCATGGAGGCAGGAATGTGAAATATTAAACACATCATTATAAACACAAGACTTGAAATGACTAACGTGGCAATTGACTAAGTGGGTGAGACTACACATGAGTCAGTCGGTGTGCTGTGTGTGAAAGAGACGGGTAGAAGCGTGTGTCTGGCTCAGCACACCAACCATGTGATGGAAGCGCTTATCAAACTACGGTAATGTTCACCCCCTCCCCCATCTGCCTCCACCCACGGGTACAGCACCCCAATTCTCTCTGGCTCCCAACCAATCACAGCGTTTGTTCACAGCTACAGTAACCATGGAGCCCACAGAGGGGCTCACCATGTCGCCATGGAAACTGCATCTGTTTACAACAGAGCTAACGTTAAGTGTGTGAGGGGACAACGGGGAGCCTTCTGGAGTCTTGTAGAGAAATTACCTCCAGGACTGCTGCAATTTCAACACGTCTCATTGTTAACACAAATCAGATGCTTATCGGCAAAATGCCTGCTTTTTATTCGTTTTCATTGAACAGACCGAGTTGAGCGTTGCTAATTTAAAAGCTGAAATGATGAACAGCACGTCGGATGGCCTTTACGCTGAGAATTATTAGTACTCTTATAGAGCTATTAATCAGGGAGCTGTTCATATTCACCACACAGGGAGTAGACAGCAAGATATCAGCCTATCACATCTACACAATGACATTGCTATCTCTACAGTGAATTTTTGTTTTAAAAGGAGAAATAAACAAAATAGTACCACATTCTATACAGATCTCCAGCCGACTATAATCCCCTTAAATACAAACAAAGCACATTGCTTAAGTCTATGCAATAAATGCATGCATTATTAGGAATGTGTGGGTGTTTTGATGGTCATTTCATTGTTTTTAATATATATATATATATATATATACATTTTAATATATTTTTAATATTCATTATAATTGTATAATGAAGAGGAGCTCCTTAGATAGTGAGAAACCACATAATGGCACGTGAATCACATCACAGCTCATACATGGCATAAAGCAGGTGCAAGGAGGTTATTACACATCCACACATTCTCTTGTGTGTTTGGCAAATGTGACAATGTGGCTGCAGCTGCATATCATGAAGTGTGTGTGCACTACAGTTCTAGTTAGTTATTACACTATTGCACAACAGACTAGACTATAGTTTATTAACGATACCGACTATGTATTAGTTCCATATGGATGCATTTCTGTATGTGCATTCATTAGTGCGTGTGAGTAACTCCCTGTGTGTGTGTCTGTTATTTTTTAGATCATTGCATTTGACGAGCTTCGCACGGACTTCAAAAACCCCATTGATCAGAGCAATCCTACCAGAGCGGTAAGAACTCTCCTGTTTCCCTTCGAACCATCAAAGGCTTGGTGCACAGAAACCTCTTCCTTTTAGTTCCAAGAAGAACATTCAATGATCTACGCGTAAGCGCTTAGAAGAAACGGAGGGTTCCACTCCAAAGATTTTATGATGACCTTTAATTTGTTAGTCTACTTCTGAACTCTGTTTTGATAAAAATTGTATTGAGTTCAAACAAAAAATAAATCCTTTAATGAGAAACCCACAGCAAACCTCCTGAGTGCCTGTTAAGGAAGCCACCAATCATCTTAAGTAAATGAGGCTTTCGAAATGAAATCTTTGAAACATTTATTTTGCCACATTTAATCAACATCTAATATTCGTGAGACGTTTAATAGAAATCCTACTATTCAAAGCTTCCATCTACATGCATTTTTGAGCATTTTCCCTGCATACTCATTTGTATGCAGATGAATGCATTTTTTAATAGATACCCGTTTGCTTAATCTATTCAAGGGAGGCTTTGTTTATGTAATGAGATACAACAATAACGAAAAGTGCAGATAAAAGGCTTCAAATCTGTGTGAAAGAATAGTTACTAAATTCACATTTGAAAAAGCCTGTCTCAATCTATTTTTGCAAAACCATAAATTTACATCGTCATGTAACAACTTGCCATTATTCACTTAGCAAGTTGACAGCAGCTGTGAATGTCGTTTTCACAAGTTAGCTAATGTTCCAGCGATCATGTGAACCTACATCTGAACTACAAAGACAGAGAGTGATGAGGAGTGGGAGAGGAAACTGTGAAAGCAGACTGTGGGAGTGTGGAGGCACGCCAGCTACACGGGGGTGGACACAATAATTGCAAAACCTGTCAAAGTCAATGCATTATCCTTTCACTCAGGTACAGATGAGGTGATGAGAAATTATGAACATTGCAAGCTTCTTGGTAACAGCAAGGTTACGGTTCAAAGCTACTTATCAAGGCTACGTCAGCTGTTTCCCAAAAGCAGTATATATTATATTAAATTATTATAAAACATTGTAACAAAAGAAACTTTGCCAGTTGCCAAATCAGGTTAATGTTTCAAGCCGTTGGCAATGTTTGAAACTTGGTAAAATCGTACTGTACAATCGTACAGTACAAAAGTTAACATTAGCATTAACATGTTTGACATTTGCATTTATAAATTACGAGGCTGTCAGTTATTGCCCTGCAATTTATTTCATTTGTTCTGTGTATTATGAAACATTACTCTTTGAGCGTGTTGCCCTGGAACAGTAAATGATTTGCAGTGAAGTGTCTGACCGGACACTAATCACGCCAACTGAGGCTGTAAAATAGTAGCTACTGCAGGACAACAATTTCAAGTGCAAATGCTATCATAAATTGTTGAGTAATGTAGCGGGCAGATCCAGCGCTGAGCTCTTCATGTTTCAACACCCAATGTTGCGGAAGGATGCACTGCACAAAGCAAGCAAAAGGGAGAGAACGACACCTACGCCAAACACACACCAGTGTCTGGCTTTGAGGCTGGATGTTGTAGATTCAGGGCAAAATCCACTTTGAGATCACCGGGGGAGTTTGAATTTACGTCCACAGTTTCATGAAATTTGTAGCCTGTGGCTCAAAGGCAACGGACATCAGAGAGGCCTCAATACTGGAAGCCATCGTTCCTGTAACTAAGATTCCTCAATATATCAGTGTGAGAGTCTTTCGAGTGTTTCAGTAAATACATAGGCAACAAACACCAGTATGGTTTCCTCACGCTAAACATATCCGCATACGTATCTATTTAATATATTTGTGTTCTACAAGATAAAATTGACAAACTATTTAATTACGAATCCGTCAACAAGTCTCTGACTATTGCTACATTTGTTTGCTGATGGACACAGATTAAATTAGGTCGATGAACAGCAAAACTCATTTGAAGAGCCAAATAAAAGATCCCTCGAAGAGGCCACAAGCAGCTGGCTAGAATAAGATGGATGGTTTCATTTGTAAAACAGATCGTTGAGCCCTCATTGCTGCTAAAAGTATATTAAAACTGCCATCCTTAGGGCAAAATGTCAGTACCAAACAGCCCTATGCCTCAAATGTAAACGTCTTTATGTGCTGATGAACCATTTGCAACTGTGTTCTTACTTAGTTTGGGGAAAAATATACACTCAAAGAGTTTGAGATACAGGGTTTTCTTGTGTTTGTATTTGAAACCACTCACTTGGTCTATTTTCGTTATGTTATTATTATATCTGCCTTGAGATTCATTTTCATGGATAGACAATTCATAATTAGCGAGGATTAAGAGGATGAAGGAACACAGAGACTGTTGATCAGCCTTTCTTTGTATCAACAGAGGGAACGGATTCTCAACATCGAAAGGATCTGCAACCTGCTCCGCAGGGTAAGTACTACTCATTCATTACCTGCTGATGGTGGATGACTGAAATAGATGTGCTTCAGACATGAGCCGTTGCATATGCAGGACCGCGCCGCACACTGTTCAATCCCCACTGCCCACCATCACCGCTATATCGTATAAGTATAGGTGTTGTGTGTGTGTGGAGATGTTCTTCTATTTCAAAGCTTTCAGAAAGAGAACATAATGTCGATGATATGAAATCAGACTTGCCGCAGACAGAGGCCATTTAAAGCATGCAGAGCAGGAAAACGTGTAACTCTATTGGCCACAACAGGGGACTTAAAATGAAGAAAAGTTATTAAATCAATAAATAAACATATTGCAAGAGGAGGTTTAGGGAAGGTAGCACACTAACGGTACCATTGAGACCAGTGACAGGAAGTTGTTTACACTATTATCTAAGGGTTGCTCACTTTGAACTCCAATGTACATCTTTAGTGTAAAGATTACTTTTTTTTATGGTTAAATTGAATGAGCAGTTAGTCAGGTAAAATGTCAATAGTTGAATAGAGCTTTTCCTCTTTTAATGGCAAAGAGATGAAGATGATGTTGTACAGATTGTATTGCCCTCTAATGCAAATTTGAATTTAAAAAGAAATGTTAGCCTCAAAAAGAAGAAAATGTTTTTTGGAGGTTAACCTATATTTAGGCACAGATTCATATTTTCTATTGGTTGATCAACATAGTATAATTCATTGATTCATTATTTTTCCCACAGTGATCTAAATGCAAACAGGGCAAATATCTGTCATGCGCATTTTTTAACTGAAGGAGGTACATTTAACATCTTCATCTTGGATTTATTGTGTAAAATGATGCAGTGTTACTAATACAGCTTTTCAAGTAGAAAGGTGATCAATCTCGCATGGTTTTCAGACAAATAGTTTTTTTCTCTTCACTTCATTTGTCCGACATTCAGTTCATGGTTTCCAGCCGGCGGTTTGTTTCGCCCCAATCCAAGTCGTCACAAATCTGTCCCGTAGAGAATATTGTCAATCAAAGGGAAGCTATGAAAATTGATCGGATCAGTTAAAAGGCTTCATTTATTAATGCTGATTTAAATGTATCTCTTCAAAACAGCATAAATAAAGTAACAGTAACATGAACATAGTGAAGCATTGAGCCGTGAAAGAGGCAGATATCTTTCAAAGGGGGATGAATATTGGACTCACATCAATCAACATGACCAAATAGCTGACTTAAAATGAACTTACAATCAAGTGTTTCTCAGTATCAGCTCCATGTGCAAATAGTGTTTGCCATTTTCTACATTTAAAATGTTCTAATATGTCACTGATTCTGTAGTCTGGAACCTGAGCCACCTGAACCATCTCTGCCAAAACTAGCCTACGTCAATTTATACTAACGTCCAAAACCAGTCTACACGTACACAAAACTACATTTGCACTCGTAGCAGCAGCGAGCTGTGAGTAACATCAACCCCCTCAGTGTGAAAGTGTTTGCCTCACAGTGTGATTCTGGTTTAGTAGATTGTGGCTAAAAACCCATCAGCGTTTCAGTGTCTCCCCCACCGGTTGCTGAAGCGTGATTATTGATCTCTGCGGCCTGACTCCCCGTGTCTGTCCTGCTCAGTTGGTGGTACCAGAGTACTCCATCCACGGGCTCTTCTGCCTGATGTTCATGTGTGCCGGAGAGTGGGTCACGCTTGGACTGAACATCCCGCTGCTCTTCTACCATCTCTGGAGGTACATTCCCATGACGGATGTGTGACAGTTCTCCTGGCGGTCCGGTGCCGGCGTCGGCCTAACGTCTGTGCTTCCCTCAGGTTTCTTCATCGGCCGGCTGACGGCTCGGTGGTCATGTACGATCCCGTCAGCGTGATGAACGCCGACATTCTCAATTACTGCCAGAAGGAGTCCTGGTGTAAGCTGGGCTTTTATCTACTCTCTTTCTTCTATTATCTCTACAGGTCAGTTCAAATTCACAATCTACTCAATCAAGTGTCGCTTCGTTAGGTTTCAGTGATGCTTTCTAGATGTGTTGCAATGTTTGATGAACTTAGTGGGAAAAAAAGCAGCACAATTACTTTTTTCTCCCAATGTTTCCGTCTTTTGCCCCGGGTTATTTCCTCCTGAAGTATGGTCTACGCCTTGGTGAGCTTCTAACACACAGGACATCTGGTGGAATGAAAGGATGTATCTGTAAGAGAGACTAAGATGAACAAATGGGAACATTATTTATTCCTCTCCATCCTTCTTAATACTTTTTCAAACGAGAAGACCAATCTGAGTGATGATGTGAATGTGAACTCGATCATGCCGCTTTGACCCGGAGACTGCTGTCACACAACTGGACAAAGTGTTGAAGGATTGAAACTAAACAGAAAGAGGACACAGCAGGTGGTTTGCCTTTGAACAATTACACAAATTGACAATATATCTCTGAAGGGCTGGAGTTTTCCCTTGCTGCTCTTACTGATCCAGTCGTCAACTCACTGTGAAACTCCTATCTCTTAGGGGCGGGAAAACAAAATGATATGTGTATTTGTTGGTTTTAAATGTACTGAAAGCAGGATTGTTTTGGTATCATTCCGTGTATTTACGCTGATTGACCTTCAATTTCACACAGGTTTTTCTTTTGGGATTATAGGTATTTAAAACTATAACAAGCAAGGTAAAAATGTACGGGAGAAATTTAAAGCACTGTAAGAAATTCAGGGGACAAGACACCGAAAATAACTGATTGGTGTGTGAATTCTGAACTAAAAGTAGGATGAAGCATTGACCTTGATGCCAGCCTCCAAAGTTAAATTTCACACTGTCACAAAAGCAGAATTAATCTTAAATTTGACTGCAAAGGTCAGTCCTTGTAATGTGTATTCAAAATAAGTACGTCCATTGCTGTATTGACATAATTTATGCTACACCTTGGGTTCATGCTTTCCAAAGAGCTTCACGCTCAGACATTTAATGCCAAACGTTTATGTCATTAAATATCAAAACATTGCACCAAATAAAGTCATTAACAGGGAGTGAAAAGAAGAAATGACGGCACAGTATCATAATCTACATGATAAGGCGCTGTGTTACATTGACTTCATGCCAGTAACTCACGTTCATTTTAAACTACTACTTATTTATTATTTCAAGGTGAATCTCTTACTCATTTGCATTTATACTGTAGTCCTTTTTGCTCAGCAACTTTACTCTGATCCGAGGTAGAATATATAAATCTTATGTACAAAAAGCAATTAAAAACAGCAAACTGTCAATGTGGTATGATTAATAAGACATATCGATGCCGTGTTATTCAGTGTTTGTTATACCGTTGTTTGAGACTAGAGTGGCAGATGAGACAATAATGACTCTTTGACAACGTTTTAGTTAATTCAGGAGTGTAAAGACATTGACGTGATTATGATACATTGACACAATCACTCAGCTTAATAAGGGACAGACGTAAGACGGTCATGTTGCTGATGACCAAGATTTGTATGGAAGCCTTTCCTCAGCTGGTGCTGCCTTTGCTATCACGTGTTCATTATATTGATCTATAAGTAGATAAAGTGATGGTTGAAATGTGTAGTTTTAACATCCATAGAAAAACCGAGTGTGATGTTTTTCATACGCCAGCTCCCTGTGTGGTAAACTGTGGTGAGAACGTCTTAAGCCTAATGAGGATGTCACTCATTATGTCAAAAAATCTAGGTTACATGATGATGATGATTTGACAATGGTTGTTTCACTTATATTGGTATTCATACTAATACTGTTTTGTTACTCTCACTCTTTAAATGGCAAAATATATTCTAGAAAACTTAACCACAGAACAAAATCTTTTTAAAATAATTCACAAACATTTTTAGTTTTAGTTTGGTAATTTGTGAATGTAAACATATTTGTGACAGGTTTAACAAAATTTCAGTTGGAACAACAGATACCAATATTAGTTGGACAATAGCGTACAGCTGGGAGAGTTATTTTGTTTGTGTGTTGTTAATTAAATGAATGAAAAGACTGAAACCAACAATGTCTTCTTTACTTCAATTTCTCGGGCAGCCGCAAATACATTTGTTTTCCGCAAAGTGTAAATTTTACAAACGTTCGTCAAAGTCAATAGGTAATTAAAACCGTCAGTAGTTTATTTGGAAACTAAAAGAGGAGCAAATAGAGCATTTCTTGGGTTCTGTTTTTAGCAGCAGATATTAGCAGCATATTTGCGGCACGATATTTTATTCCTGAGATTGATTTTAAAAAGTGCTTATTTTAATAATTAAGGATTTTTTCCCTAGTGTAAACTTGTACTCAATCACTTTGTTAACATTCACGCCAATTTCAAAATATCATTTTAAATATGACAATGTTCAGAATCTGATACAGGTCATAAAAACCGCATATTACCGTTCGATTAAGCATTTTCAAATCTTCATTCAGGTTTTAGGGACATTCTTAGGACACAACGCATTCAGAATATACTCAACTGACCCCTTGCTTTCCATCTGCAGGTTTTGTGTGTTCTACTGATTGTTGTACATAAACAATCTTGCTAAACAAACTTGCTAAAACTTGCAGAAACTTATGACAGAAACAAAGGGACACATTTTTTGAATGTTTTCATTAGCCATGTAAAGAGCTAAGAAGGAATAGCGTCTATGGGCAGAAACCTAAATATTTGTGTGTCAACGTTGTGATTGATGAGATCTTAGCGGTTAGATGAGTTGGATCAGGCTTTTGCTACACTGGCACTGTTGGTTTTGGTCTTTTCACAGGATTATTGACAACAAAATAATAAATCTATAAATAATCAGAATGTTTAAAAACGTAGTCATTATTGTCAAATTATGTTTAAAATGAATCTGTAGTATCTGCTTCATACAGTTCGTTCCATATGCTTTACCTTTCAAGACAAACGTCACATAATAGCGTCACTGCAAAAGATGATGAAAAGATGATTAGAAGACATTGTTTGCTCAGTGGCACTGCAGTAGTTGCATCATGAATGAATGAAATGCCAATGATTACAAAAAGCTCAGCCAACATACACAGTTCTTATGTCTATTAAGTCAGTTTAATGTCACTTTGGTACCAATGAAAAGTTTTGAGAGAGCAATTGAAATGGCTTGTGGGATTAGAATTTCCACAACAACAGCACCGAAGCAATTTGTAGTCTTTTAGGGTTCCCGAAGACAAACATTAAACAGTATACATACTGTGCCAAATGATGCTCCCATGTAAGTAATCAAGGACTCTGAAACCTCAAAACTCTGCCAACATTGTGAGTGTATGACAATCACTATTAAAGCACAGGAACATGTGGGAAAAAAGGAGAAAACAGCTCAGTTGAATGTCATCATGTAGTTGCTCTAGACAAAGCATTTTAGAAAATTGTATTTAGATATATCTATTTGTATCTATCTTTTATACATTTATCATCAATGTACGCTACAGTAAATTTGGTGGATTACTTAAAATTTATTAGGTTACTCTATGATGTACAGTTAATAAAAAGCGATTCTCATGCCATATTCTAATAAAACAGTAATGCCATTAAGATTATCTACAAGTTTCTTGCTTCCTGCATGTTGAAGGTCAGTATTGTTGCCATCTGTGTTTTGCAGACATGATGCTCTGCCAACACCAGAGATGTGCAGGGGGAGAAATGTATAACTGAGGATTATGTGGGCAATTCAAGGATGCAAGGATGCTGAGTGGTGCATTGGATGGAGTATACAAGACAAACTGCAATATCAAAAGCTGTCGAAGGGGTCTCAGAGACGTTCACCCGAGCTCTTAAAAAGCACCAAAATACTCAATTGCCTAAAAAAACGTTGCTGATGTGAAAAGTGCTTTGACTGGAGAGGAGGTAAAGAGAGGATGATAGTCTTTCAATACTGCCTGCGCCGCCATCATACTAACATATGAAATTATGGAGCACTGGATGCCTGTTGGCCTGCATAACGAAACTTAGTTGAAACAAGTGCATCGGAAAGAGATTACTGACAGCTGTATGCTCAGCTACATTATCTTTTTCCTGGCTTCAGAATAAAAAAGGAGACACTGCAGAAAGAGCATGTCTCTAAATCGCCGCAGGGAGTCATTTGTAGGTTCTGCAAGGTTTGCTGGGTTCTAACTTGTCTAAATAATGATTCAGACAGAAAAGTGCAACAATGAGGCTTCGAGCTGGCGTTCTCGCTCTGTTTGAAAAGGACATATCATTCCCTGTCTGTTCGCTGTCACCATGGAAACTACATTGTATTAGAGATTCCTGTTGACTCACTGTGAGGCTCTCACTCAACACACACACACACAAATCCAATACAAGTTGGCTCATATGCCCGGTGGCATAGTTTACCTGCAAAACACATTCTTTTTCAATTTCACATTCGATCCCTTACATATTTAACATAATCTATGTGTGTAGTCATGACGACCAAAACCTTAAGGCTTCCATGCAGGACACCTGTTAATCACAGGATACACACAGCAAGACGCACGCACACAAACAACTCTTTGCTCACTCATGAGACACGATTCTCATGCCGTGGTTCACACTGTTCACACTCTCGGGCTCTTCCCTTTTCAGCGCTCTCCACCACTATAATTGTCTCAACTCCTTTCCCCGCTCTCCTACGTCTCTGCTCTCAGAGAGATGTTACCATGGAAACTGGTTGAAAACTGATGGGCCTGAAACGTCACGATTGGCATACACATTCGGCAAGCGCACGCACACATGCAGAAGTGCGTGCGTGCGGATGCACAGGACACACACATTTTGCTCATTCATTATTATGCGCGACGCTCCGGGATGCTGCATATTATTATTGCTGTACGGACATGCATACATAGAGGAAGACCACAAGGACATGCTGTACTGTACAGTGACTTCAGGTAGGACAAGATAGTTGATACGTCGTCAAATACCTGATTTCCATTTTAAGAATTATTTTAGTACAGCGTTAACGTACAGACAGGTTTTTCTTTTCTTTCAGTCAGACAGGTGGCCTTGCAAGACATTTGAAGATATAACTTAAATGATAATAAAGGTTCTATGAATGGGGCGCTGTTAAATCAGATGTTTCTGCAATGCTTCTTCTGCTCTTTGCAATGATCATGACAGTTTATCCCAATGACAGACTACAAGCAATGTTGATCTTCAGTAAAAAAATAAAAAAGACAACTTATATTATAGAATGGAATATAAGATTAGTAAAAAAAAAACACATTTTGTCAGCTTAGACAATAGCAACTGATTATATGTTTGCTGCATGGTATTAATATTGGAGTTTGGGTGTTTTGGTCAAAATGTTGTCATTATCGTCACTAAGAAATGCTGCTGTTTGTTTGAATCAGCAGTGATAGAAGTACTATCATTTGCTTAAGAAAAACACAATGTGTCAATGTTAGTTACGTCGGGGGGGGAGGGGGGGGGTCTATCCCAGCTAACATCGGGCGAGAGACGTTAAATAAAAATGAATAATGCCAATAGCTAATAAAAACGAGGCACCACGGCAGGAGTCGCGAGCACATACGTAAATCAATGCCCTGAGGGTCCTCAGGGTACCATGATGGGTACAAACAATATACATTACGTTTATTGTTGACTTTCCTTCGTAGTGATACAATCATCCCGGTTGGTTGTATCACATATTTGCGTAATGCTTAAAAAGAAGGTACTCGCCCGTCTTGTGCACAGTAAAGTCTTCCCAGGTTAGGTTAAGATATGCGATATATCTTTGACTGGTCCACTCAACTTACCTGTCTAAATAAGCAGTCTACTCAACATGTTTGCCCACCAATAACTTATCCACTAAACTCGTTCCCACTACAACCAGTCCACTCGTCCTCTCTGTCACAGTCTCTCTAACTAGTTTCTCCACAGGTTTTCAAACTGAGACACTCAGGCTCAAGATACATACATGCTAAAGATGATGCAGAAATGATACCTCTTATGCAAAGTAAATCTTTAATTTGAATTGGGGTGCAACAACAACAGTGATGAGAAATGATCTATCATGATAACCCGCCATGTACCACAAACTGTCACATAATATAGAATCATATTCACACATGCATTTAGTATAAAACTATTCAACATTCAAATAATTAACTATCAAATGAGACTATCAATAATATTACATTATGTTGTTTTCTAACAGAAGTATAACGTGTTAAAATGACAAAACAAAAACCGAATCAGAAAAATACATATGTACATAAAATGTAACAATATTATGTATTAATTCAGCACGAAGGCAACCACAATGTTGACAAGCCATTCCTAATTAGCACTAAGGGTATGAAACACAACAAAAAATAGCTCAAGTGCTACGTGGGCAAGATCAGGGGCCAACTGTACTGTAAATGGGCTTAAAAGGTGAAAATGAAGGTGCACATCAGCGGGGAGCTCTGTCATCTGTGTGGGCAAACCTCGCTGCGATGTGACAGCAATATCATCTGCAGTGTAAATGCTCAGGGATTTATATATTTTTTAAAAGGCCCACTTTGATTTTAGACTGGCTGTTAACATTATAAATAAATATGTTAAAAGGGAGAAACAGACTTGTTTTCCAACCTTGCCTTGTTTTTGAAATGCCATGTGAACCAATTTAACGGCCGTAATAACCAACCTTAGTAAGCGCCTATTAAAAAAACGTTCCTGACTGCAGGTCCGTTAACAATCCAACCACCTGGCACAGAGTGAATCAACCTTCTCTGGAGGAAGGTTTGAATGACGATTGGGGCTATTAGCTGTTCTAATGCAGCCCATAAACTATTTGTTCCTTCGTAGTCATCAAGACTGAGAAAAGGCCTAGAAGCTGGTGGGACGTCTGCTATTAAGACCGTAATCCTGCAAAGAGAATACATACAAAGAGGCTGATGGTGACAGTTGGAAGACGTCGTTATAAACTTACACAGCTATCGGATTTTCTTCACAGTTTTGAAAGGACATTGATCCTGCTCTTCATATACAAGCTTTTTGAGATCCATATTAACACAATACGATTGTGTTTCCCACAATGCTGAGATTCTAATAAGGGCGATTACAATACATGATCAAGTGTTTGTTTATTTATTTTATTTCTTCATTTTAAAAGTATTTCCATCATACACAGAAAAATGAGATAGTAAAAAAAAAAGAACAAACAAACAAACGGCCATGATAATATTCTGTGACCCATTCTTTTCCATTAAAATAGGTTCTAGAGTGTACAGGGGAAATGCATTTTTCTTTTTCTGGAATTACATTTTCTAGATTCAAGATTTTCTCAAAGTTATCACATTTCTTTGGGGTGAACATACCCACAAGACCATGACAATGTCTTCAGACGTACAACAGCTAAACCAAAGTCGAGTGAACGCAGGCTGATATACAAATATTAGATTCCTCTGAGGTTTAAAAGCAAAGTCATTATTGATATTATGAAATCCCTGCACGGGCCCAGTAACTGAACTAGGTCATATTTTGTGGTCTGTACAACTGAAAAGGAATCTTCATTGCAAGTTATTGCTGAATGTGTGATGGGCAGTTTTGGTCCCGTTTCCCCACGTCTGCTTTCCTGTTCAGTAGATATAAGGGAAGATCCTGTAGGGGACACGTCGACAGTAGGTGTCCCAAGCCAGTCCGTATTTGGCTCTGCACTGTCTCTCATCACGGTCCTCTCGGTGAATCAGCAACACAGTGAAATATATCACATAGAAGTAAGGCAGAAGATGGGAGAATCCTACAGAAAAGACAGAAAAGCATAGCAGACTGTGAGCAGCAGTAAACACAACATAATGATAACTAATTTAAATGTAGCTGTACATTATCTTTTCTTACTGCATTATACAAGAGCCCTGCAGTGAATTCCGCTTTCAATAAGCTCATAATGTTTCAGGTGTTGAGTCACCTCAGGGGTCATTTTTTTTAGGTGTAGAATGTTTTTCAGAAAAATGTTTTAGCCTTTCAGTCAAGGTCTGGATGTTCCTCCTTCTCTGTACGGGTTTCTTATCGCTTCATTTTTTAAATCCATAATTTAGTTGGTTATGACTTTCGCAATGGAAATGGAGGCAGATTCTATCGTACATCTCAATTACAAAGGCAGCTCCACCAGTGAGTCACATTTAGTTTGAATAATGAGCAGAATGTGTCGGCTGGAACAAAAGTCTGACAAACTCCTTTAGAGGGAGTGCGTTTTCAAGGGAATATATGGCAGTTTACAGAAGAACATGGAACTGAAGATATTGACCGATTTTAAGTTTGTACGTCTTACTGTGTTAATTTGTCGCTGAAAAAACGGTATTGTCATAGTTGCAATGGTTTACATTATTACGTGGACTCACATACATCGTTATGACGTGACAGTTTCCCAAAGATTTCAGGCATATTTCTCTTAATTGTTTTTTTGTTTTCCAGCCAGCAGCTTTATTGTATTTGGTTCAGCCTCACTGCTCTGATAATGTGGTTTTCAGGCGCTTCGTCCATCTGTTTTCAGTGGAAAGCTTTAGAAACCCACTGCAGACTATTTGCACAACATTTAACAACAGACAGAGCGAGCAGCTAAGCCCGGAGCATTTTGTATCTGGTTGGTGGACGGGATGATTTTGGACAAACAAATAACAGAATAGGATCTAAATCTGATAGAAAAACGGGTCAACAAAGAAACTAACCCCTGCTTTCAAATGCTATATGAACCAAATGGCTCGGCCATGTAACAGACCATTACAGTAGATGTACTCCTTCATGAGCACCAACTCAAACATAACTCCCCTCAATGGAACATTATGTTGCTTAAAATGACCTTCTCAATCCCGATGTGAATACCAATATTGGGCTTTGGCTATCAGACAATACAAAGGTTTTCATCAATAAGCGCCTCACTGTGTGGAAGAGACTGGGAGACATACGGCAACATTGTAGAAAAGAAAATGGAACAGATAATTGGAATCCCAGAATCAATTTGAAATAGTAACCCTTTTTAGTGCAGCATCACAATGATTAAAACTTAACAAGCTATTTAAGGCGACATCAGCAAGGCCTCCAATAGTGGAATCTGTGCAAGCGGCTTACATTCCCTGGGAGACGGCAATGACGTTGTTGTCGGAATCAAAACCTCATACCCTGTTAGCAATGCATAAAATACACTTATATATACTGAAATGAGCAAACTAATGCAGGGTCGCATTACTGTTACTCAGCTGACGTAAGATGTAGTGATTCGTCCACGGCAAACAGGAGGAAATGACAGTCCGACAGAAGACTGCAGATCCCTGGCAAAGCTGTTTTTGAAAGATTTTGACGCACGCCGTGACCTGACCGGTCCACGTCTCACGGAGCTCAGCAAGGCATGTAAACGGGCTAAAACTCTAGCGGTTTGTCAGCTAAACCGTTCGTCTTCCTTATTTCTTTGATTATAAAAACAATATCATTGTACCTCGTGCATCACGGCTTTGGACGCCATATTTGCCAAGTGAAAATGCTTCAGCTCGTTAATAAGTGCCAGTGTACATCTGTCTATGACATTATGACAGTGGCGACTGTCATGTAGGAGTTCCAAATAGCAGAAAAAACACCAATTCTTGCATAATATTGCTTTAAGGTGACAACGGTTTGAACATTTGCGTGAATATTTGACAAACATTCCCCGAAATGAAAGCTACTGTTGCTCACAATTTGAGCTGCTTTTGTTTAATATGAAAGAGTTTGACAAAAAGTAAAGTATATTCTTTTGTGTATATTGGGCATAAGTCATTCAGCCTTAAAAATATATTTTAAATTGTAAGATACACACTTGACATTTGGATTAATCAACACGCTTTTCTAGATCATATTGTAAGTTCTTTGTGTTATTTTATCCAATTTTTGTAAATATCTCATGTTTTGATTGTGTCATTTAAACCGCAACACCATGTTTTTTGGTTTCTAATAATAAATATCGCTGAATAAAATGAAACTCTCAATCTGTCATTCATGACCATGTCCACATTTTCCAGTTATGTCAGAGTGGCAATGCGTGAAAAAAAGGCCTTCCAGAGGCTTTTAAGGCTTCCTACCACATGGCAGGGACCACGCCAGAGCCATGAGGAGGTCTCCCAGGTAATTGGGATGTCGGACGAGCCCCCACCAGCCAGACACCAGCAGACGTTTCCCCGTTGCTGTGGCGATGGTCTCCAGTCCTGCAAGTGGAGAGCGGTGATATTTCTGAGTGCGTGAAGTCCCTTCACATATCAACACCCACTTCCCTCTGTTATATGCGGCATGTGTCGGGACACATAATCATGAGTGAAAGAGTGCAATGTGGGAGTATTTGTCTTGATTCAGAAAACACATCGAAAAGGCCGGAGTCTTGAAAGATGACTGACTTGCAACACTCGGGTGTGTAGGGTCTCGTCTGAACTGGTTCTTCTGTGAGTTGGATTTTCTGAAAATATAATATCCAATACCTGATGGCAAAGAGACAATTGTTAACGTTGCGATCTTTAACCATGACACACAAATATATGAGAGCTAAACAGTGATTACCATTGAGTGCTATAATGGTTAGTGATCCGAGGGGACTTAGGGTCTGCGGGTGCTCAACAAGGAAGGAGGCCTGCAGGCCGTATGTGAAGGGAACCCAGGCCAGGTCGCCGAAGACCAACATGAAGCCAAAGCCATCATGCACAATGTCCATGGTTGTCAGAACAGCCTCCTGCATTACAACACAAGGGCATTAGTTTATGACTAATAATGAAGTTATAAAGATCTCTCACCTCGCGGCGTGCCATTCATTTGACATGTGCGAGGACTGAAATGGTAATGCGCGTACGGCATAAGGATGTACGGTACTTTGCCTCACCTCATTCCACAGAGCATCTGCCACGTACAGCAGCTGGAAACTGTTGACCAGCATCATGGCGAGCGAGGGGGAACCGCGGAGCTCCACCTCCTTCATCAACATGCCAAGGTTAAGGACCACCTGAGAGGTGAAGTGAATACTGATGAACAAGCTCTGCAACATTTTTCAAGTACTTGATGCCAAATTCATTATGTGATTAACTGGGTGCGAACAAAAAGTCACCAACAGGGGAAACATCAGACACGCGACAAACAACATGACAGAGACTCGCATAGAAACTGCAACCCAGCACGAACATTCAGTCCAGAGACAATAGCCTAATACTAAGTGGCCTCATAATGAGCTTCCCATTTGAATATAATGTATTACATCAGCACTACCATAAATGATCCATCTGTTATGATAATTGCATTGTTGGTTTTAGAAGTGCTCCTCTGTATGTGCCCCTCTCATGTATGTAAATAAGGAGGAAAAGAAATCACCTTTGACTATGAACTCAGAAATAAACATTTATTTGAAGTTCCACATTTTCCAAAAATGTCACTAAAAACTGAATATCGAAGGCTTTGTAAGAACAGAATGTTGCTCTGTAGACTTGCGTTAGATTGCACAGCCCCCCGACTAAAGTAGCTAATGTCACCATTAAATGAAAAACAATGTTGAAATAGACAGAGAGAGTAGAGTTTATTTATGCAAAGTGTGTGAATTACTAATCTAATGTATCCATGACTCCAGGTTGGTAAGTTTGTCATGAGAACAAAGTGGTTGAAATTATAACTCAACTCACTTCTTGTCACGATTAGCTCAAAAACTATATAACTATATAATACTTACTTCACTGAATTCATCATTATTGTTTTAATTTCCTTAAAATTAAGACGTATTGTTCTCCCTGCAGCATCCAATGATTTATCTTTCCACTAGTGGAAGGATCTAACATCTCACACATGCTTAGATAATACATGTAATGACAATCATCATTTAATATTTAATAATTTTGATTGAGAAGCTCTTTATTGGTTTATTTATACATGTCTTTAAAGCATCATATGTTAAGAATATATGAATATTATACCTTAAAATGTAAATTCTCAGCAATTGTAAGACGTTCAAAGTTAAAAGTGTATCCTTTAAACATTCAGGAAACACACATCTCCCACACACTGTCTGTAGCCAGTTGGCGAAAGCTGTTTCTGTCCTCTCCTACGCACCTGGCTCGAGAACATTCACATGTGCAAAGGTTTTACTGTTTATACGGTGAATGCAGAGACAAAACAACTTGAATAAAGCACTTTGTATCTTGACAATTTCCAGAGTGACTCACTGGTTTTACTGTCTCTTAAGATTCTTTTTTCGAACTAGTGAGGATGCAGAGAAACCTGCTGTAACCTTGTACATTTCACCTCATGATTATGACTCAAACATAAATGATCAAGCCTGCCCTGGAACAAATGTCTCACTGTGTCAGGTCTTCAGGGAGGAAGGCTTTGGATTCTGACTGCTAATTATTGTGGAAGATCAGTGTAGAGCAACATTGCCACCTGCTGGTTGTTCGGCTCTAAAACAAATCAGCATTAAAGTATGTTTTTCATCTGTATGCATTTTTTTTTGTTCTAATGCTTTAAATTTAATATTACTAATTACTTAAAATGAGAATATTACTTATCTTTTTATGGAGAAAATGACAAAGGCGTCATTTTCTAAAATGAAGTGAAAATTGTTTTACAATTTGTTTTACAAAACAAATTGAAAGTGAATTGATAGTGCAGATTAACTCACCCAGCCAATCAGACCCGGTCTGAGCTCGCAGAAATACTTAAAGTCGAAGTTTCCGATCCGGGGGTTCAGCTCCCGTCCGATGAAGAAGTCATAGAGGGGATTTCCTAGACAGGACGGAGGAATGGAGGCTACAATGAATCCACCGGACAACAGGAGTAATTCTGTGCTTTCAGCGTGCATCTACATGCATTTTAACATTAATGCAATGCTCACCACCTTATTGATTAAATATTAACTAGGGTGTGCACACTGACGGCTCAATTACATGGCACGTACGGAGGACATATTTATTATAAGGTGCGTTAAATCTGGTAATTATAATTTGAAACGATTGTTGTTTATTACTTTCTATCCTTTTAAAGAACTACCGCACACGGAGGAAGAGTAATGAAGGCCGGAAAGCATTTGTATTTTCCATTTTGTTTCATCTTACAAAATGAAGTGTGCACAGCCGGCTTGCAGCTCTGTGTGTATCTTCATCTCATTTATTCACCTTTCTCAAACCTACCATCGGTTAATAATACCATCTACGACTTCATTAGTTTCATGTGAACTGAAGCATCATGACGTTATAGTATGGCACCATCTCAAAAACTAAGACGAAACTTAATCATCAGCTAGCAGAATCTGAATCGCACTACCAGATGGTCTCAGCTGTTTGCCTTCAGATACTACACGGCGTAGCGCGGGGGGGTCAGCTTACTCGACGAGAGGATTCACTCGATGCCTGCAGGCTCCTGAAGAGCTCGGCCGTTAGATAATTGCCCACAGGAATACCAAAACGATCCTCCGAAACAATAAAAGAGCCCCGAAAATGCACACTGGCATCTGTTATAAAACAGTGCTCTAAGACGGATGCTTGGTTCAGTGATGAACCTCCTCCTCTCACCTGTGTTTCCCCCCAAAGCAAGAGCATGAGACGGAGCCCAAAAGGAGCGGATGTAGAGGTAGATGGAGAAGAGGAACGACAGCGCTATCGCACACACTGCTAGAGGCAACAGCAGCTCAAACAGAGACCCCAGCGGAGCCCCGAGCTCCAGCAACAATATCAGCAACACGCCGCTGACGCACAGGCCAAGAAAACCTGAGGGAGAGAAACAAACAAAGCTAAATGCTGTAGCCAAGGGGAGAGAGATACACAGACACACACGGGCAGGTTTAAAGAGAAATATAAAAAGTTGGAAGAGATAAAACTTCTGATTGTGTAACTTAAGTAAACTTTAGCTCAGGGTCACACTGGCTTCAAAGGGTTAAGAGGCCAAACTAAAAGTAAGTAAAGAAACATAATTTTCGGATCCTGCTGGAAAAAATATGACAGCAGGTAAATTGCAGCGCAGCCAATGTGAAAAAAAACACATAAACTGTTAAATATCCAATGATAACATTAGTTCATAGTACTACAGGATTGTAGACAATAAAGTTCAAGAGCACAAAAATGTACCATCAAAGCTAGAAAATTAAAACAAACAATATGCTGCAGGGATCATGTTTTGTAAAGATCAGTAATGTATATACCATTTATGGGATACTTGAGGCGTGTTCCATCCCTCAGCGTTAATCCTTCAGACACCTGCAGGTTAAATACACTCATTTTTAATTTGAACAAATGAAAAATTAAAATAAAAACCTGAACAATTGAATGCAACATTAAATCTGGTGATTATAATTTGGTAGTTTAATGTGTCTTACCTTTCCTAACGGCATCGCGTAGAGGAGGGCATGCAGAGCAATCCAGCCCAGCAGGAGAACGAGGGCCACAGGGTCCCATAGCTGGTGGGTGGAGGGAAGGACCGGGGGCCACTGGAGCAAACTGGCCTCAGGGGATCGACTCACACTGATCAGGAACAGCACCGTCAGCGGGAGAAGGACGGGTATGCATACAGCACCTGGGAGAGATGATGTAGTATCAAGTGGTGAAATGTCCTAAATGAAATGATTTGATGGTCGCCTGCAAACAGCTGTGACTCACCCAGAGTTCCTCCAAATTCTCTCTCTGTTTCATGTAAGGATCTTTGTTTGAGAGCTTGACTGTTTGGCCTCATTATTGGGCTCCTGAGGAAATAATTTGGAAGTTCTATCAAAATAAAGACATTTGGTGGAGAAGTAAAATAATTGTAATTAGAATACAATTTGCACACATGCCAACTAGCCAACAGGTAATACCAATTAATTAGTTCAACGCAGCATCAATTTACCTGATACGTTAAAATGCCAAACGTATATCTTATAGCACATCAGTTGTACAAACAACAAAATTACAATAGATGAATATAATACATTTAACACTATGAAAGAGGTCACTTTTCAGGGGCTTTTACTGGTATATTTAGACGCTTAGATTAGAATAAAGGACTTAACGTTGTTACAGAGTGTTGACTAATAGGTGCAAGGCAATTAACGATGACATAAAGAGGAAAAAAAGTGGAAACTTTTATTTTTAAATCTGTAAAACAATGTAGCCCTCCGGATTGTATTGTAGTGTTATTACATTGGGATTGTAAACCACCGAGACAAAGTTCAGGTTGGTTCTTGAGCGTGCGAGCGGTTACACCTATTATGAGACGAGAAGTCGTTTCAGGTTACTGTCCATTACCTGCGGATTATCGAGAGAAACGATGTCTATGCCGTAAAATACAGCTCAGTACAAAAAACCCAAAAGTTGTGTGTCTTGTAGCAAATGCAGCGTCTTACCGGTGTGAAGCACGGAGGTGCAGAGGGGATGATACTCCAATCAATCCGACCATCCAGCAGCCCGCACATGGAAACGCCCCCGAACCGCGACGAAGAGCAGGAAACTGCCTCTAAGCCAATCGGATTCTTCCGTGGCTATCAGAAGAGGGTGGGTACAAGAGCGTTACACCAATCAAATGAGCGCATCAGGTGGCGACAGCGCACACTGGAAAGGGGAATGGCTACAGACGTTGAGAAATAATTCATGTTTTTTTTTTTTTTTACATAATGCAAGGATAGTGACTCATTTGTGATTTATAAAACATATTAGGCCATGTTAAGTAGTCAAGTAATAATTCTTATGTATGGACTGTTAATAATGGACTACAATCCTAATAGGGAGCCCCAGCCCTTCAGCCCTGGACACATGAACATTTTTCTAAATGATAATTAAAGGGAGCTTGAATGTGGTGGAGGAGCCATTTAGCTTCTCTGCTAAAGGTAGTCTTAATTTGCTTTCTTCAAATGTTTTTTTTCAAGAAGGAACAGTATTATTAGTCTTACATTCATACTTTTATTGTGGACATAAACTTTTAACAGATTCCTCAACAAGTATATTTGTGAAAGAAATGGACAGAAACAGAGACTCTACCAACCTCAAAGCAAGAGTTACAGTAAATCTGTTGTAGTTACTTTAATGCAGGGATTACATCATCAAATGGCATTCAGACAGATCGTTTTTGCTGAATAATTTGCTAGCGGAACTTAATATTACAGCAGAATCGTCTCTTCAGTTATTTATATTGTGTATTCACATTAAAGAAATTTTGTTTAAGACACGTCTTATAAAGTTGCTTTTATTAGAGATAATTCATTGATTTTTATCTTTGTAGATAGGGGAGATGAGAGGGGTGCATATTATTATGCTCTATATAATTGTGTAAATTACTGTAATATTAAAATCAAGTACTCAAGGCTCATGTGCACTTCGTATGGCAGGCGCCAAGATGTAGTGTTGATTGATCTCAAATTAACTGACTGACAACTCATGTTGGATGATCTTCATTGTTGACGCAGTTCTGCTATTGCTATTCTTATGCCAGTTTTACAGGATACCATGAATCTCGATCAATACATTGAACAATCAACAGTAATTAAAGAGGAAGTCTTGAAATTTGGATGCACGATTCCAGGGTGTATCGTCCTTCTGTCTGGATTTGTGATCAGGCATTTGGAGAAGACTCGCTGGCTGTGGTGCACTTTGAGCTTTAACCCCGCTCACAGATGACTTCGATCACACTCTGTTCCATCGGGGCGGGATCCAGGCAGCGGTGGGCGGAGCTTCCCACTATCTCATCCAGCAGGAAGTGTACAAGGTTCTCGTCGGAGACGAACCGCCACAGGTACATCTGCAGGTAGTGGCAGTCAACCTGGATCTGCTGCAGCCCGAAACGGCCGAAGGTGCGCAGGCGAACACACTCCAGGAACGTCTTCAAACTGATTTTGATAATTCCAGTTATCACGGAGACCTGGGACAACAAAGGGCTGTGTGTGAGTGTCTGTGACACTAAAGACTACACAACCCTGAAGACCTGCACCCACCTTGTTAAACTCAACCGAGCTGAAGATGTCAATCCTCTCAGAAAACAGCTTGTGTATATTGCTCAGTAGATTAGTATCCATGGGAGCGCTGCAGGCAGACAAAAGACACATCACTAAAGTCAGTCCACAATTAGCATAAATACCTCATTTTCATGATTAAAAAAAAAAAATCTCACACAATGTCTCGTGCAGTCGGATGTGTGGTCAACATATTAGAATACCGTCTCTAAACCAAACTAACTGAAAGCATTTGGAGGACGGCGCTTTGTTTCAGGACGTTGACAGTTTATTTTACCGCACGGTTACCTTGGCGTGTAGCTGGCGGCGTAGCGAGCTTGCTGCCTCGAGCTGCTGTAGACGGAAAAAGTCCTTTTGCTGGAGTCACTGCTGTGGGCCTTCCTCACACCTTCCTCATACAACAGACCAACCTGTTGGTAGAGCAGAGACGACTGATTAGACGGCCTACTCGTACGCGGTGAGGAAAGCAAAATGAGTTTTATGTATTGTGAGCAGTGACCTGCACGTCAATCGAGGTGGTATCCTCTACGACTCGCTTCATCACAGCACGGACATTTCGAGGCTCGATGGTGTTGACCCAGTCCCGCGTTTCAACGCTCTTTCTTAACATTTGGGAGATTATCAGGCCTTGAACCTACAAAAACAAAAACGTTTGTAATGATTCATTTGCTGCATGTATGTCTCTCTTTTCCCTCAGTAAGTAAGGTTGGAAGTGAAAGCCTTCGCCTACCTTTACATAATGGTTTAAGAGTTTCTGCGCTGCCTCCCTGGCTTCTGCACACAAAGTTGTGACGGGTGTTACAGGACTGTGGTGCTGAGAAAGAACAAGAAGGATAAGAACTGTTTAGTAAAATATGTCACCTTTTGGGAGTGATATATGTCAAAGGTCAATAAAGAAAAGTTTAGTCCCAATCACCAGTTCTCACACACTTACAAGAATGAATGTTAGATCGTGTAATATTAACTTTTGTACATGAAGCTGCATTCATTAGTTGAGGGGCCATTTACCTGCACAAGGAACTGCTCATCTGTGAGAGTAAGTATGTAGGTGATAGTAGAGGTCTCGTAGTCCAAGCACAGGCGAGACAGCAGCAACAGAAGGGCCGGAGGAGTCGAGCCCCCCTTGTCTCCGGCGTTGTCGCAAAACTGCCGAGAAGACTGGCACACAAATTTGATGAAGTTTACCACCAGGCTCTCACGTACACCCTGGCTGCAGAATTCCCCCTATTAGGAGGAGAAGAGACTGGATCAGCTGTGCGGAAAATTACTTTCTGAGGCACCTGGTAAATAAAGAAGGAAAAAACATTTACCTTAAAGTATGGCTTGTTGGAGAATGTAATGTCCTTTGCTGTGAAGAGATGCACTGACGCCAACACTGACTTAATCTGATTAAGAATGGAGGCCGATAGGGAGGAGAGAAGCTCTGGCAGGCTGGTCGGAGCATCTCTGCCGGAGGCCGCCGCCCCCCCGAAATGGGCTCCGCCTCCGGGCCCTGAGGCACCGGCAAGCCGAGGTGTCGCCAGGGCCTGCCGCACGTCCGTCAAGCTGTCCATGTAGAAGCTCTGCAGGGCGGAGAGATACTGCTTGACTCGCTCCGTTGCAGCCCGCATCACAATCTCAGTCCCCCGGTGCGCCACGGCGGAGCCCGGCAGCAGTTTGGTCACAGCCTGAAGTCTTCGGTGGAAGCGGTCGAGTGCGCGGACCAGGAGGGAGTTATCTCCGACCCCTTTCTCCTCTTGAATCCTCCGCTCCACGAGCGAGAAATACCGGGCAGCCAGATCGTCCACGAAGGCGTTCAACTTCGCACTCGCCATCTGGGGGATGTTTTTGGACGCGAGCTCGCCCGTCTGAGCGTGGGTGATGAACAGTTCTTGATAGGATGTTATGACTAAACACAAGCTGCTGACAAACTCGTTGCAGCCCCTGTCAATGAATTCCAGGATGTCGGTGTTGGAGGTGGGAGAAGGGGTCGCGCCCGTTTTAGGGAGGTTATCGGTCGGAGATCCGGCGGCTGCAGCCGACGGCAACCTGCGTGCAGGAGGATCCTTCACGGCCGAGGCGGACGGGCACGGTGTTATCTCTGCCTCCAGAGCCTGGAGCTCCAACTCAAGGCGAGACCTCGCGTGGCTCAAGAATTTATCACAGAGCTCCTCAGCTGGCTCATCCAACTGTAGCAGCAGCTCCACACACTCAGATAAATCTTTAGCGCTTGACCCGCCATCCCTATAAGACCACAACAAAACGGGTAGAAATAAAAAACTGTGTAAAATATATTTTTTTAAATGTCATTTTTAGTTGAATGTAGCAAATTAGCAATATTAGTTTCATTTTCAATGCATTTATTGCTTATTTATTTCTATAGTTCATAAAAACCTTTTTCTTTTCAGCGATAAGTGTGACTTTTAGGTGTGATGTTTCCGAACAGTAGAGTCTGCAAAGCGAATGGAAGAGATTCCTACCTGAACTTCTGTCGAAGCTCCTGAGCCAGTTTATCCATGATGGCGTGACAGTCGTCCTGGATTCCCTTGAAGGAGGGCAGGTGGCTGTACTGCTGCAGCACACAGCGTGCCCGGCGGTGGGATCTCACCGCCTGAGCAAAAGCCTGCAGCTCCAGACACTTATTTAATCTGGCCGGCAGTTCAAATAGAAATTGCAGCTTCCTTAACAGAGTGTGAACCCCTAAGGTGGAAAACGAGACAAAAATATTAGAATCTCCACCTTGACGTTGCCAAAATGGACACAAAACAAACAGTTCAGGCCTCACCTGAGAGTTTTGTAATCTGTGCATGCTGGTCTTGCAGAGTACCACTGATGCTGGCACTGAAATCTGTGATTGCCGCCATGTTGGCAGACAAGCCATCCATTTCATCCTCCATCTTTTTGAAATCGTTCTTCATCTTTCTTATGGTGTCTGAAAAAAAAAACATGCAAACAAAAGTTCAGCGATTCACAAGTGGACAATGCAAGAAAGTCAAACTACATTTCAACAGTAACTTAATAATGAGCAAGTCGTTGCCTCACCTGTAGCAGATATGAACTTATTGTAGTTTTCGTAGACCAGCGTCTGCATGTCACTGTCCAAAGAGCGGATCTGCTTGACCATGCAGGTCTCCTGGTCCATCAACTCTGCAAGGGAGCACTCCCTCCTCAGCTGCATTTGGACACAAAACCAACAAAGGACAATATTATATAAAATACTGAGAAAACAGCTGTCTTCAAAGCATTGCATCTTTCAACGGAGAGCAGAACGTATGCAGTGTGTGTGTGTTTGTAGCACGTCTCTGATGATCATACGCGTCCCATACACAAAATGACTTTCTTTAAAATATTATCATAATATATCCTGACCACTTAGCAGAAAATTTCATTATGGGTTATTGTTTCATCAGCAGTGGGCTACGCAACTATGGTACTAAATTGAGATTGTGCTAGAAAGAAATGGTTCGTCAAATGAGTTGACACGGCAGCATTGGTCACCTTGTTGAGGAAAACTTCGTGGTCAAAATGCGGCCCGTTGATGTCGCAGGGATCCAAAGACTTCGCCTGCTCTGCGGCCTTTCCCTCCTCGTTCATCCCGTAGTACAGCTTCAGCATGCCGTGCACCCTGCGCTTCCTGCTGGATTCCTCCGACTCTGACATCGCCACCATTCCGTCCTCCTCCCCGTCCATTGCGCGCCCGGTCGGCTGGGAAACAAACGATAATAAACCAAAATGACGAAGGCGTCCAAGCCGGAAGGAGAAAACTGACAACTACAGGCTTAAAACGTAAACTTTGTTCTCTAAAGTGACTGACATTCGTTTAGCTGTCTGCTCTGAATTCGCTTATATTGCTAAACAATTAAATAGAAAATGGGATGTTTGTCCTGATACACAAGCTGCTAGCTTGAAATCGTCACTTCTTCCGGGTTTGTAACCTATCCGGTGTTACGTCGTCAAAGAGTAAATGTAGTCAAGAGAATAAGCTACGTGCTTGCGTTAGGAACGTAATTCTAGTTTGACACTCCGGAAGTGCACTACGGCGCACGTGAACTTTTACACAAATGTAAAGGTTTTAATAAACAGGTACTATAGATATCTATCTTCTCTAGATTGTCAGAAGATTACAAAATATATCAACAATGAAATTAAAAAATGTTAAAATTCATTTATTTCCTAATGTGGGAAGTAGGCTGCATTGTTGACGCTGCCATGAAAATAAGTACATTAATTTAGAAATGAAATATAATAAAAATAAGTTTACTAGTTGATCTTAACTCATCAATCGTCAAATCCTAATGCTAAATCGTAGATTAATAATCATATAGACACAACAAAAATGTATTTTTACCATACAAGATATAAACCTGAGCCTAAGATGCTGAAATGGAATCTAGAAAAGAAGAAACATAAATCCAAGAAAAAAATATGGCTTTTCTGGTTTTGTCTTAAGAGAAAGAAAATTCATTTTATTGGTCAAAGATTAAAAATATAACAAAAGATACATTGCAGCATGGACATCAAAAAGGGAATAATATCCTCTGATTCACTCAGGCCTATAATAAGTCATTATTTATGCCCAATTCTGAAGTGCCTGTTAAACCAGTTTGGAATTAGAAGTGTTACATCCCTTAAGCCTCTGCACATTTTACAACCAATATCGAAATGTAGTACTACATGGGTTGGTGAGTTATAATAGGGCGGTCAGAAATGCAACTGTACCTTTTGGGAAGACACTGAGCAACCATCACATAAGTTGAAGTTGAAGTTCATGAAATAAAATACATTGTGACCGAATCTCTGTTTTAAAAGGAAGTTTTCGCCTTATTCAGTGCCTCAAACCAGAGCAAGACCTTTCCCCCCCCCTCATCAGGCTTTCATCAACAGCAGTTGACAGCACTTACTGCAGAACAGGTCAAAATTTATAGAAATACAAAACGTATTGCAACAAAATCTCACAAAGTAACAGTTAGTGTTAGTTTCAAGCAAAATGACGTCAGTACATTAAGGCAGTAAGTATTAAACACTTTTTACCATTTCTTTTCAGAGAAATTAGCCACACTTTGCATCTGTTTATTTAAAAGAAGGCATAGATATTTTGATAAAGGCAGACTGACCCCTTCAGGAACGCGCACATCAGGCAGGGAGAATAAAATGTACGGGCTGAAAATGTGTGAGATATATTACAAAACCAAATACTTTTTTCAAACAGTCATTCAGATCCCCACTCGGTACAAACAATAAAGGCACTTGATGCTTCTGCAGAGTGATTGCATGAGAAGATTTCAACACTTTCAATGACTCATTTTTTCATTGTGTACCAACACAGACGAGTATTTGTAAATTAAATAAAAACAGTTCTCTTATAAAAGCCAACAAACAATACAAAAAAGGGTTCATAACAGTGTATTAGTTTTAATTGTGCAGTATCACATGTGTGGTCAGATGTGGAATGCCTACTCTATATTGTGACATGCATAGTGTTAAGTTAGCAACAATATATTGGACTGCTGCACATTTAAGTCCAAACATATAAAAGTAAAAGTTTCCAATTTATAAATGGCCATTGTTGAGGTGAACTTGTTTGTTAAATGTACAGCAAAGACAGGAGGTGCCTGTGTCAGCATTAGGGCGAAGGACTCGGCCACGAGGTGGACCCGGCGGTCTTCCTCTGGAGAGTTACGGCAGCTCACTGTGATGCAGCACATTAAAGAGGCTTTGGGTACAGACAGATTGGAACAGGGTCATCAAGCTGTCATATGCACAGAGCACATAGTTGTGTGCTCTGTAAAGCACTTGCTCAGAAAATGGGGATTTTATATTTCCTAGAACAATTGAATCAGTGATGTTCTTTAACAATGAACCGTGTGCTGATTTTAGACTAAATAGCCCCTCCCCCTTTGAGAAATGCTGAAAACAGACAGAAACGACAATTTTATACAAAGGTAGCGTTCCTCTGCCTTTTTCAAATTATTCACATGATTGTGTGAACGAGGGAAAAAAACATTTCTAAAAGGCAAATCTTTTAGGCTGCAGTTTTAATTAGTCAGTTATTCATTAGTCACTAATTAAAAGAGCTGTTAGTATCTTATCAGGGAGAACCCTTTATTTCTTTGGTCACTTGTGGCAGAAGATTAGCGTGCAGATGAGATTTTTTTCAGTTAAACTGAATATGAAATGCTGGCCATTCACTAAGAGGAGGAGGAGCCTGGTGCCAGAAGACAGCGTTCTATTGAGTAATCTTATTATTTGTACCGTTTGGTTTATGTGGTCTTTGCCTCCAATTTGACTGTTTTATTGGTACAAATCAATTCAAGCTTTCCAATGAGGACTTGATACTGGGTCATTTTTGCTTCACAACTTGATGTCGTGAAATGTCTATTTTATCACAGACATTTGTGGACTATTTTTTCAAAGTGCGATGTCCCAACTGCACTTTCTCTCCACAATGATAGTTGCGAATATCCGCAAACATTAAATGTATATTAAAATCCTGTGCTTACAAGAAACTTCCACAACACAAATAATGTGCTCGCATGCGGACTCCTATCGATCTGTAACACCAACACGCCTTTAAGTTTGCCCCCTGACAAATGTCTGTTAGATAAGGATATATTGTTCTTGATGTCCAATACAAGTAAAAAGAGGTAATGCAGTGGTTATACTCTAACGAGGTTTAAGATGTTTTTGTAATAACAGGTCAGAGTGATGCTAAAGGGTCAAAACTGCCATGACATACCATTCACTCATCAATTTGAGTTGTTGTCTACAGAGTTGTGTGGCTGGTCTCATGAAGGAGGTCCTCAGAGAACACTATATTGGCTTTATGCAAGACCATCTAATGAACGGCCACTTCAGTTTAACCTGGGAAGCATACGAGTTAATAGACCATTTGGTTTTTCACATTACTGCACTCTTAATACACACACACACAACGTCAAAAGATAAATAACATCACTCACACCTTGGTCCTTTGCATATTTGTATGTCATCAGTTATGGGTCTTTTTCTTTAAATCTCAGTGTTCAGGTTTGGTCTTCGAGAGGCACGGGGCGGAGCCAGACAGCGAGTTTAACCTTGTTCCAGACTCTCCGCCACTTGCACAGCGGAGTATGAGGGAGCAGACACCTGGCGAGTGAAGAAGGACGCAGCTCTTTTCGGCTTCAAGCGTTTGATTTCTTTCCCTGGAAGACAACAACAGACGACAACAATTGACTACAGGGAACTTCTTGATGTGGAAGTAGATCACTCTGGAAAGATTATACCGTAATTATGCTTGGGCTGAAAAGGTGCACTCTGGGCTCACCATTGTCCACGTAGCTGATGGTATTAAGCGAATGCACCCGACTGCACACCACGCTGCTTTGCCTGCGCAGCATCCCGCGGCGTCCTTCCCGTGCGTTCTTGTTGCTGCCGTCCTGCTCAGCAGGCTGCGGAGACCGACCCCCCTCACCGTCCATTTCCGCTGCAGCTCCCCCCTCAGACACCGACTTCAGCTCCACACAGAACTCAATAAATCCGCACATCAGCTCTGCCTGGTTAACGGAACAAAAGTAAACACCGATGAGCCAAAGACGTATAAACATCATGACAGCGGTGTTCTCTTTACAATGTCCATTTCTAAACCACTCGCACACAAAGGTTCAGATTATCAGCCTGGGATTAGGCCTCGCAGGCATTGCATTATATAACATCTCTTCCCCGTCTGTTGTTAGGTAGGAGATTATATAATGTGCAATCGAATCACATCGGATGATGTTGTGACGTTAAATTAGACAAGCATGTTCAGACCTGTTTTGAGTAGATCTTAAGCAACTTGTTGACAGGAGTGCCGTCTTCATCTCCATCAAACTCCAGCCACAGAATGTGTGAGTCGCCCTGCTCCTCAGGGTAGCTGTGGTCCCAGGAAAGCTCATTGAAATGCAGGCCAAGCAGCACATGCTGCAAGTGATTGGGTTCCAAACAGAGAAATCAAGTTTTAGCTCATGAGGAGAAACAAAAACTGCTTCGAGTGTATCAGCGGTGGGGACGGTGATTATCCAAATATGCACACACGAAGGGTGAAATGTGGCTTCACGGTGTCGCTGCTTTACAACCAAAAACTCACTTTCTCTTTGACGTCCATCACGTAAACTCCCTCCAGGCAGATCCCGACATTGACAGCTTTGCGTTTGGCCCTCTGGAGAATCCCTTGCGCTGGTTTGTCAATCTCGCCAAAGAAGAAAGCGCACCTGTTTGTGCAGATAATGCCAATTAATTCCTAATAAATGAAGAGATTTGACCGAAAAAGAAACCAACGCATGAGTGGCCCGTTGTCCCAAGTCCTACCCGTAATAAGGCAGAGTGTGACATGTGTTGAGGTACTGGTGTAGGAGCTGTGTGGGCTCTGCAGAGTTTCCAGCAGGTGGGATGATCTTTCTGTACTCGTCCATGAGTTTCTGCTCCAGCCCCGTCTGACGGTTCGACTTCCCTCTCAGAGTTGAAAGCAAACCTCCAGTCCCCATGGCAACATGTGCAGGCAGAAAAGAAGACAGCTTCTTCTTTCTGTGGAACCAGATGAGAGTGCTTCCATTATGCATTAGGTCTAGGGCTGTCTCAAAAATAAATATTCGCTTTAAAAAAAACACAGACATTGTTATTGTTAGATATAACAACGAGACATAACTACTTGTATAGGTAATTTATTTAAGCTTAAACCGATTTAACAACATATTACCTCGTGCCCACCCGCAAAGCAGACTGTCGCGCTTTTTTTTTTTACACTTGAATATTAATTTTCACATTCGAATAGTTGTTTTTAACAAATATTCAAATAAATATTCGAATATATAATATTCGTGACAGCCTACTTAGGTCCCGCTCATCTGTGGCAATCTGGGCTCGGTATTATGGTAAATCCACTATTCATTTTATACAATGTACTGTTGAACGGTCTTTACGATTTTAAGCACAGGGTGCTTAAAGAAACAAAAGCTAATGTTGATCTCAATGCCTGTGGATTTTCAAGAAATAAAAGCATGTTGGTGCTTAATCTCCTAGCTTCTCTCTAAAAACATGTGGGTTGATCAATCAGCTGGGTTGTGCATTTCACAACCAGCATCATTTTCTTCCCCTACATTTTGGCTGAAGCGAGGCATCCGCAGGGGCCAGTAAATACTTCTCCATTTTCTAAAAAAGGCAAACTTTGAGTCAACTGGGAACTCATCAAAAATGTTCATGCAAGCAGAACGTCGGGTAGGATCTTGTGTTGAAAAGAACAAACGCTCTGTTTTGTCGTTTTATTGGCATGCTGGGGGATGTGACTGGCTGAGATATTGTTTAACAATTGCCAAACCAGCTGATCTATATTCGCTTTCACCAAGCGTGTCACGCTGCCACACATATATGAGCCAAAGAAGGTGCATGTGGAGAGACTCCCTTGAGTGCATTCCTTGCATTTGGGTAAAACTGTTTAAGCAGCCACAACATGTTTAGCGAGATTGTGTAAAACTATTGAGCAACTTCAACTTACCTTAAAGTAGTACTAAATTGTTGCCCGTCAAGCCCGGTTCCCTCATCGAGAGCGAGAGACAAGGCTCCCAGACCAGTCCAGTGCTCGGGGTCGCAGGGGTAGCGCCCCGTCAGAATATTTCCCCTGGCCTCCTCATAGAGAAGCCTCAGCACACCCTCGTCATCGATCTGCTCAGCAGTACCAGGACGACAACAACTAGCCATCAGTCAACAGGAAAGTGAACTGCAACTTTCAGACATGAACCATAAATCTATATCAAAACCCACATAGCCTTTTGTGCGTCAACAAATTGACAAACTGTACCTGTGATAAATAGCAATGTCTGAAAGATTTTCTCATGTGTGATTATTGAATGTTCTTGTAAAGAATTAGGCTTAATGCTACCTGCAGCTCTTTAGATTTGGGATAAAAGACGTTCCGACGGTACTGGAGACATGGTTCATCTGAGGAAAAAGCAGAGGACGATGATTGATTAGGGTTTGGTGGACCTGTCATTTCTTTGGGTATGTTCGAGCCGGGTGATATTCATCCCAACGCCCAGAGTGGAGCAGTGAAGGTATAGTGTTTGACACTGTGGTGAAAAACACACTCCAACACAGTCCTGTACTGCGCGAGAAAGACCTACTCAACAAAAAGTACTCAGTATTGACTGAGTTTATGATTTTTTTAAAATTTTTATTAGTGGTCAGTTGCAACTATCTACCAAAATCCAAAGACTTTTAGTTTAACATGAAATAAACACTTTTGAGGGATTATATTTTTAATTGAACAATTAAAATTATTGTTCATCAAAAATGTTGCCAAATAGGTTTCTCTCCATGAGAAAATTAACAAATTGACAAACAGTTAATATTTGAGAAAAACAACTGAAGGTTTGGTCCAATTAAAATGTTACATGGCCACTTTTATATGAGAGGATGGTCATTTATTTTAAAAACATTAAACTTAAACCATTGTACATCAAAAACCACTTAAACTCTACCGTATAATGTCTTATTTTTCCCCCAAGTGGTTTCTCACTCCATGTTCCAGGTTTTAGTTCCTTGTCCAGCCACAGCTGTTTATATCAACTTCTCTTTTCTTTTATTTATTTAAAAGCAAACCTGAGTGCAATTTTACACTGTGCAAGCTACTAAGCACCAACAATTTAGAAGTAAGTAACTGATAATAATCTGCTTTTATGCAGTGAAAACCAAAACAACCGATAATAATCTGCTTTTATGCAGTGAAAACCAAAATATTTTTCAATTTAATTTGTGCAAGTACTCCAACCCTTACCGGAACCCGGTTTATCCTTCAGATGACTTCGGGGAAAAACAGTCCATGCAATGCAGTAATGAAGTTACATGATGCATGCGAAGACAGCGGCACACAGACATAACGCTCACCTTGTGAGATGTCTTCTTCTGAGGCCTCAGTGAAGCGATACAGCAAATCCTGCCACTGCCGACACAGTTTGTATGGTTGATGTCTTGCCTTTAACTGCAATTCTGAGGAGCAGAGAGGAGGCAAGCGTCTGAGATGTGTCTGACAGCCTTCTCCGCTTTATATCAAGCTACTAACATCAATGTGAGGTAAAATCATGAATCATGAAAATGCATGAATAATATGTGACATTTTGTAGCCAAACTAAAATATATTTTTGGAGAAAGAAGCACATATACACATTGCCAGATAAAAGGTTGCAGTATTTATGAGAGTAAAAAGTGTGTGTGTGTGTGGGGGGGGGGTTCTTACCAAGCAGTGGAGAACAAAGCCAAAAGGCAAAAGCATCCTGCGCAGTGTCGGGAATATGGAGCGCCTCGCGAACACTGCGGCCCAACTCCTGCACGGACACACTGCCGAGCCCTTCTAAAGTTAAGTGCACGGCACTGTCGCCACAGATGTATACTAGCACATCTTGAGCTGGGGGGGGAGAGGGAGGGCCGGGCAGAAACACAAATGAACAAACAAATTGTTTTAAATGACACCACATCAAAACAATTATATTTAATGCACTGTACCACGCAAAAGTGTTGCAGAAGAAGCAACACTTCCTCTTTGCGAGTGATCATCCGATGAATCTGGAGGAAAGTTGCAGTCGTCTCCATCCATCTCTTCTCTGAAACCCAATGAGCAAACGCAAGAGGGGTCACAAGACACACACGATGAGATAATGATTGTTATCATGGAACATGGAAACTCTGCATGTTTGAGAACTTTTTAGCCAAATACAGGATGTGGTGGGACACAAGTGTTGCATGCTTGTCAACACAGATCGACATTATAAATATGGCTAACAAGGGACAACAGTTAAGAGGTCATGTGTCAAGGACTCAAACTGCACCTGCGCCACCAAATGGTATAAAGACCCCGATTAAGCAGAACATCCTATTCGACTGCTGTTGACCTCACCCCGTTAAGCTCCACGTACCACATGGCCCTGACCTGTACATGCTATTAAGCAGCGTTTGTACGGCACTTTGGGCATTGATATAACGTTTATACGACGCACCAAATACAGAGGATACAGTTATAAAGACAAAACGGTACAATCCCGAGGCCCGTGGAAAAGCGCTAGCTAGCTAACGTTCACCGTGTCCTGTCGTTACATTCCCAAAGAAACACAAACAATCTTTGAAATATCCCGGTGTATTCAAGACCTGCTTAGTGCTTCGGGTAACTAACGAAGCAGCCGTGCTAGCTAACGCTACTTACGAATTGAGCTGGACGTTAAACCTCATTGCGACTCTTTTAGATGCAATATTTCAGGCATCAGTTGATGACGATTTGGTCACTTTATTAGTTCGTTAGCTGCCTTTAGGTGTTTTCGTCAAACAGTTTGACTTAACGTTAACGAGTAATGTACAGAGTGAAGCAAAAAATATCACTACCTACCAGACGTTAAATGATTTTGTATGTTCCCCTCCTCTTGCTGCCTATGCGGTCGCCAGGAGACTTAACGTTACTTTTGTAAATACCGTCGCTAAAGACACGTCAAGTCGACGGTTCGCTGTTACCAAGTGGCTACAGCTAGCCGCTACTCCGCAGCTAACGTTAGCGCGCTACGGGCAGCTGAGACGCTTAACGGCGAACGATCCGTTCATTCTGAAACGCCCTTTACTGGGCGCGACCACCTGAGTTTAAACAACACTTTAAAAGAGACGTTCATGAGCGAGGTAGATATTAAAAGAGCCGATAAGAAAACGTACAAAGGACACGTTTGGAGATCATTTGAAAGGAGCCCAGACACTGTTTGAACGCTTTCTCATGGGGAAGGTCCAAAAGGTTTGATCTTCTAGATGAGTCGAGTTCCGGTTGACTGACGTCATCGCGTCTGGCGCTATGCAGGCAGCGGATTCATTTTCTTTACATTCTTTTTCTATGACAGGTTGTTACTAATATATGGATTCACAAACAAAAGTTAAAAATCTAAAATTAGATATATAGTAACAGAAGTGCTCTCCCAAACTGTTCTGTACACTTGAGCACACACAGCCACGCATCAAATTTATGACAAGCCTAGTGTTCAGAGCCAATGGACCGGGAGGTGTAGAACCATGATGACATGTTAGTTATGTCCTGCACGTGGACAGTAATACTATAGACGTCACTGTCATACAATAATAATAATACCATTATGTAAGCAACCTAGAAAAGTACAAAATGACTGGATCAAAGAAATAGCGTACACTGACCTTGACAAAGGACATTTATTTCATGGCTCTGACCTACAACAGGTCTGGCGTTGTAACATCAGAGTTATTGTATTTCATCAAGCTATTGGCAGGTTTATAACTGATAATAATAACTGATGACAATAATAATAATGGACAGCTTGGGGTGGGCTGAATCAGTACAATTAAAAACCAGGTAACATAGATATTATTAAGATACTAAAACAGATTGGATCTTCTGCCATAAGAGTGCATGGGAAGCATGTGAGATCAATGCTGGTGATTGCTGACTTGTTTTGAGTCAGGAGGTCTACATATCCCGAGAAAATTACTCAAGATACTCATGTTTTTGAAAGGACCTAAAATAACACTATTCACTTGGATTGAAATGAGAAACTTGGATTGAAATTAGAATAATTATCTTTTATATCATATTAAGCTGCCCAGTGACATCGCTAGGGAAATCAAATTCCATTTTTTTCTGTTGGGTATAAATTTAAAAGTTAAAAAACTCATTACATTACATATGCAGACAACATATCTGATGCAGGTGTGTAACTGCATGGACAGCAGGTTGAGCATTAACAAATGAGATTATAAGCTTAAACAAAGGTCTCAGAGTAGAGGACACACTTGACGGCTTTCACGGCATTACTGACATGGTTATATCAATCTTCACAATCCCATCTATTACTGACAGGGAGAAGACAGGCAGGGACACACTTTAAAAGTGGAGAACCTATTATTGATGGTGACATCTGACATTTTAAGAACGTATGCATGCTTTTAGAAAAAAGAAGTAAGTGAATCCACTCCATAAGGTATTCAATAACATCAAACTTTAATAATACATTGTTATATTATGTCCATTAGTCTTGTTGTGCAGCAGAGCATAGTGCCTCATGTCTACTCACCTTATATTACATAAAAATAAAACTGGGAAGTAATTTATTTTGAATGAAGATCTTATTGACAATTAACTGAAAAACGATAGGCTTACAATAAGTCCTGCGGGTTATCAATTCCTCATATGGAATGTGAACAGGAAAGAACAGTAATATAGGAAAAAATTCACCTTCACCTGTGATGGTGATTGGACAATAAAAAATACTATCATTAGATCTTTGAAATTGCTGATATTTGTCATTAATATTTTGCTTTTTAAATTAAAATAATGAATTATCTCTGTGTAAAAATTATTTACATCTGTGTCCATCATTTGAAATTTAAGCGGAAGCTGGGTTTTCAGGATTGCCCTCCTCCACCTGGTTTGTGAGCAGGAAGAACTTCATCACTGGTTCGATGTACTCCATGACGGTTTCTTTCACCGATTTCTCCAACAAGTACCCTTCTGTCTCAATCTCTGTATTCTCATTACCGGCCACTGCCTCCATGGCAGTCTGTAGTAACCGCAGGCTCACCAGCACAGAGCCCTGGCAGGGAGACAGGTGGAGAGAATGGGGGTGTGGGGGGTTTAGATGTAGAAGCAGATTCCATACGAGAGAAATTATCAAGGATCTAAATACACGACTAAAAGCAGGCGGAAATACATTTTTCCCATCAGCACCAAAAGAGAACGACAAATTAATTTGTGATCATTTCTATATCAAGTCTGGATTCTCATGATTTAATGGCATTTTTATCCTGCGTGTGCTGTATTTGCATAATTGTGGGTTGTTGCAGCCCATTGTCCCTCCGAGCTTGTGAAGACATGAAACAATATTAGATTTTAGAACGAATTAGCAGTCCCCAAAAAAGCCAATGTTATCCCTCTGCGCCTGACATTATGGTAAAAACACAATGATTCTTCCCAAAGTGTACCTGTAAGAGGAAGACTGACATTACTCCAGCCCCGATGGTGTTCATCAGGCCCATGTAGTAGTTGACCAGAGCCTCCCTGCAGCCTCGGAGGTAGATATTGAGCTCCTCGGTTTGGTAGTCATAGTTATAGTGAGCCGAGTTGTTGGTTAGCTGGTACTGGAGGCATGGCCGTGGAGAGCTGGGGTTGCAGCAACTGAACGGGACTCCATCTAACAAGTATCGCCCATCCACGTTGCTCTTGACGCGGCTAAGAAAACAAAAGATACATGATGTGGTTTTCACATTGCAGGTACTTTACAACTATCAGAGGTCTTTGTTTTTCCATACATATCCTCAGGATGGGACTTGGTAATAACTGTGCACAACTCACTCTTTCACTTCCTTGGAGCTGAAATCAAGGTAGCGGTTGCTGATCCACTGGACCTCAAACCAGTCCCTGAAATCAGTGTTTCCACAGCACTGAAACTCCATCTGCAGCCGGTCAATGTTCTGTTTTAGGAAGCAGCGTCCCGGGGTGTCTGTGTCCTTGTAGAAGCGGACGCCATTCTTCAGGCCAACCTTAAGGGATGACTCCAGGCTGCCCTTCATGGCATAGCTCATGATGACGGCTAGCAGCATGAGGACAGTGAAGAAGCAAGAAACAGCGAAATAGGGCTTCAGCATGGTCTTCCAGCGAGGAAACCGCCCTGCATCCAGAGCATCCTGGCAGACCCTCGTGGCAAAGTAGTTGATGCCCAAGGACGCCAGACCAACAATCACGAGGGTGTTGGGCACAAGATGTATATCTGAGTTATCCATTACCTGCAAGTGAGTCCCATAATAATAACATTCAATACAAATTGTTTTTGTTTACTATAAGTGAACATAGATTTTGTTATAATGACGGATAACATTTCAACAATCGTGAGAAAATACGCTGCATATAAACAAAAGTAGTGTCAAAGTCAAATTCGACACAAATTACCAGAAAACCCACCTGAAAATACATGTTGCACATCAATCAGAAAAAGCTCAAGAGACTTCAACCTTTATCTATAATATATACCTCTGGAGATCTCCGAAATCTATGTGTAAGGATTGTTATTAGCAGCATAACAGTCAGTCACAGTTTGAACAGAGTTTAATGAGCAATTAGTTGCTCACTTCAAGCCATTGAAGCTCAGCTGTGTTGCTTAAATGCACACACAGTTGTTCTCTTGCATGGTCTAAATTCTGCTGGCAGGATTGTTAATATACCGTTAAAAACATAAACAATTGCAAGTACATAGACCAAAAGATTTGAAATCAGTTTTTATCTGTCCCTCGTTAATCTAGAAAGGTTAAATATGCATATTATATATTATTCTCCAACTAAACTTCTAAACTTCAGAGCAATATACAATATGACATGACATGTTATAAGAACATTTCTGTGGGCCTCGTAGAATTTTATATTAGTAAAATAATAGTTTGTTTTTAGTATTTTATCTTATATCTCTTTTTTTTTAACTGTTAATAATAATACTTATAATAATAATACAGTGTATAATACTCACACTTACATCTTTCACAGCAATACCAAAAAAAAAGGTTCATTATGTTTTTCCCGTTCCAATGTGAGGGTTTTGTGTAAAAAGGCAAATTTTTAATTTGTGATTTTAGGCTATAAAAAAATTAATTGAATTGAAAATAAATATTGTATTTTCATAGTTGATTTAAAAAACACCTGAGAGGGCGTAAATAACAAAGTTTAAAATGCAATCGCAATTTTTAATGCTGCAAATTAATGAATTAGGCAAAACTACTCACATTTGAAATACACTAAATTAAAATAAGGTTGATACAAGGTTGTGATGGCGGCCTTCAACTGGATTAAGGTGGTTAAGACTGTCAGAGCATGGTTTATTAAAGGATGAGTCAGGATCCAAAGTGAGTCACTGGTGCGTTAACCTCTTATATGTCTCTAACAAGGACAAATCTTTCATCGTATCAGATTTAATCAATGTTCTTGATCTAGACATGTTTTCTCCAAAAAAGATTACAGCAACGTCCAAAAACGCTGTTCGCAAATGTAACTTTTATTGGAAAACTTTACAGAGTTTAGAGGTGTATGTGTCATTTGTTACTATGTTGGTTTTCCTCCCAATAGGCACACGGTTGGTCTACTCCTTTATAGTTACACTGAGGAAAATGATGTCACTCACTTTAAGTTACTACACTACTGATTGTTGCAATGTGTTAAAGACATATTCATAAACCAATAGGCTTTAAAATGAAATTAACCAAGCTTCAGTAAAATTTGAATACCTCTGCCCTCCTGCGGAGCTCTGTCTTGAGGATGCAGCCCAGGCTGAAGGTGATAGCACCAGCAACTGTGGCACACCAGGAGAGCAGCCACAGTCCTTGGGCTAGCTTCACCCTTTTCTCAAAGGGGAACTTCATCTTCATGACCACCATGGTTGCAGCGAGGGAATCCGAGTCTTAGCGCGGGAACAGGGGAAGGAGAGCAACAAAGTCACAAGGGTTTCTTCTGCCAGGAGGAAAGAGAGGTCAGAGGCAGGACTCAGAGATGATGATGACAAAACTGATATTCAACACTAAATTTGAAAAACAAATTTCTAGATACTGAGCGAGCACAATTAAAAATATACTGATTAATTTTTTTGGAGATCAAACTTTGACCCAAGGATTACAAAATCAGTGGCGGTTTGTGCAAAATCCTTGGAGAATAAAGTTTGACAGCTTCATAAATTGTGCATGCCCATTCAAACAGATGCTAGAGCATCCAAATTCACCTTATTTGCCTCCCCAAAAAGTCCAGTAAAATGTCCAGTTATCTCCACCGACAACTATGTACCATCCAGTGTGCCACACAGTGGATTTGGCACACTGGGTTTGGCCAACCTGGATGCTGCGAGCGTCTTAACACTAATGCGTACCTATCCTATTAAAGTGGTCCGTGAATCCAGGCCATTGTCTGCTCAGCATCCATCACTCATACGAAGGGACATGGATAACAAAACAAATTGAACCTGACACGGTGATATCATAAGCCAGTGTCTGTCAAACAGTTGTCATTGAATGAAAATATAAACTAAAGTTGATTTGACATGGAAATGACGATATATTATATCTATTTAGTTCAATAAATTCAAATCTATATTTTACTATTATATCATATTTTTATGTTCTTTATTTCTGATTTAGGTTCTGTAGAATTCAAGGATGTTACAGTCACAGTCTAGACAGCATGATGAGGCTCTTTTTGCCTCCTTGACATTGGTTCAGGTTTACTGTTAAAGTATGCATTTGGAATTAAAGTATGCATTTACACTTAAAGTATGCATTTACTGTTAAATTATGCATTTACTGATAAAGTATGTATTTACAATTAATGCATTTACTGTTAAAGTATGCATATACAATAAACGTATGCATTTACTGTTAAAATACGCATTTACAATTAAAGTATGCATTTACTATACGCAACTACAACAACTACAATCTCAATGGCGTCCTTTCAGGAGAGATCTGGTACAGCCTTTTTCATTGACAGGCCATATGTACCGGATTTAAGAGACACCGTATCTTTCTTATGCTCAACTTCTCCAAACCTTTCCTACGCAACTCATTTAAAAAAAAATCTTTTTAAGGAAGGCTAATCAGAAGTAAAACAAATGTAGGCAGTTATTTTGGTTTCATCCGGTTTATTTAATGTAGCATGGACAACGGCAATATATGGAGGATATTTACACACGATTATGGAATGTGTTTAATTGTGAGCAGGTTATTTAGACTGGATATAGGACAATAGTTTTAATATGCAATGAGATTTAAATCAATTTCGTATATGTATTTAGAATTACACCATATTTTATACAGTACATGCTAAGACTACATTTTACAACAGTGAAATTCATAAGCAAGAAAACAATGAAAACTTTTATTCTCTAATATTTTGAGATGGATTGGATTGTGCTTGACACTTTTTGCATATAGCATTAAACACTATTTAAAACAATGAATGGATCCTATAACATGAATAAACTATATATGAATATATAATGTTATCTACAATAAAGCTAAAATAATAAAATGTTAGAACAGGTAAGTAAATGCCTGTATCTGTTAACATAGACCAGAAATAATCATTTACATTTTAAATCAACTATATTTCACCTTTAGAGGATGTTTCATTGTAGAGAAAAATATAGTTTAATTATGTCCTTCACTGCCCTTCAATTCCACTTGACAACTACTAGTATATTTATCTCATGTTTTACAGGCTTGTTTAAAACTACGTGTTTGTGTCTCAGAAGACTTATTGCAGTTTTGACTCCACGGTTAAGTCTTCTAAAACTAAATGTTAATTAGAGGGGCCAAACCTCCAAGCCACAAGAGCTCCATTTAACTTTTTAGGATAAATAACGATTAGTCAATTATATTTAACACCCAGTGAACGTTGCACTCATATGTGGGTCACAGCTGTGTTCGCTCCCCTTTCAACACGTCATCTGGAATACCTCCAGCCCTGCCGTGAACCCCGGCCCTGCCGTGCCCTTGACCTTCAGCGGGTGGCGATCCACATATGAATTGACTGAGCATTCGCTCGGCCGACTCCAGGGTGGCCAGGCTGCTATCCGTCTCTGATTTCCTGCTTTCTATTGGCCGCTCGTTGCTTGATTTCCAGTGATGAATGATCTCATTATCTAAATCCTTGATAACTTTGTGTCCTCGCTGGTGGAGGTCCATCATGGCCTCCGTGTCTCGTAGCTCCTTCTGCGTGTGGTGGCGAGCCAGGGGGATTTCCTCCAGGCTCGCTGAACGGATCAGGATGGCAGAGCCGATGTTCGGGCTTGTGGTGAACCTGTATGTGCCCTCGCCTCTCATGCCATCAGACAGGTCCTTGTTGTGAATGGTGAACTGGAAGTGCGGTACCTGCATTGGGCATTGAGAGTGTCGTCTGACAATTTCCTCACCCCCTGACTCGCTATCTTTGTCCACGTCTGCTCCCCGCTGGCTCCATACTTCACCTCTGTTTGATCCTGTCAGTGTAAATCGTGGGGTCTCATCGCCCCTCTCTGACCAGTCCGATTCCTCCTCCTCCAGAACTGGCCCGAGGGATGGCTCCTTTTCGTAGTTATTATGGCCGTCCATGAACTGCACCGGAGGGGGAGTGATGGGGTGAACCATGTGATCGACAGCAACATCGGACTGAAAATGGAGGTCACTTTTGTGGAGCTCTGGTGTAACCTACAGTAAGTAGAGGTTGGAAATCAGTCAGTTTTTTGAATAAATGACGCAAAGGCATAAAATATGCACTGTCTAAATCCGTCTGTTTTGGTATTGGTATTCCACCCCTGCCTCTGGATACATTTTTGAAGCCACAGAATGTTGTCTATACTTTAAGAGGGAAGTAAATATCTTACACTAAATGGTTCCACACTGTTGGCAAATTTAGCATCTGCAAGCTTCTCCGTCAGTGCTGAAATACGCTGGTTCAACCTCTCACGTTCTCCTTCCATGCTCTGAGCCTGAAACAGAAAGTACAGGAAGCACAGTTGTCATAAGCAAACCTTCAGTAAGTGCGGAATTTACATCAGAATTACACCTGCCAGTTTTCATAACTTTTCACTGCTGGGAAAAAAAAATTCTGCATATCATCAAACCAGTTTTTATAATCATTTTCATGTTTTTGATGCGTCAGTCTCACACTCAAGACACACAGGAATGCTTTAATTCTCACCACTGAATGAAGCTTTTGCTCTAGGAGGTTATTTGTCTGTTGTGTGGAGGAGCAGTTGTCATGTAGTCTGAAATAAGGCACACGCAAAGAGAGAGAAGTTACAATGAATTGCAGTATACATAAACATTCTATGAGGTGGAGTAATTCTGCGTTAATTGCAGCTATACTTTTAGGTCTGAAACTTGAGACGGATAGCAGTGACAAATTGATTTGATTGCTCGTTCAGCTCTCTATTACTGAGATCTGCAGGAATTGACATGTCTCTCCAAAGGACATTTAAAGATGACTTAAATGATCTGTGTTTAATTGTGTTTAGTGAAAGGAAAAAAGTGTTGTCTGTGCATTTGTTACCTCTTAAACTTCTCTGTGAGGTTGCCAAGCTCAACACGTGTCCTCTGAAGTTCTGCCTCCAAAAGCTTTTGGCTGCTCATGAACTCTTCTCCTAAACACTCCATTCTCACTGCTGTCTTCAGCAAACTGTGATGCAGTCCTTCATTCTGACCCTGAAGGTCCCTACCAAGTATAGAAACAGAAAAATGGAAATGAGTGAGAAAGTGCACATTAGAGGAATTAATTTAATAATTCTTGATGAAACATTTTGGTCGCTCTCATAACTCACATTTTAAAAATTAGGCGATTATTTTCTGTGACATTTAAATGAAGAATAATATGTGTGTAACAAAATAACAGTTGTCACTTGGACTACGACCACTGCAAGTTAACAAACCCAAGATGAATTAGTTGAATTAGATTAATTAGTTGAATTAGACCTACTTGATTCTACCAAGTTCGGGTTCCTTTTCCTGTATGAAAGAAAACAAAATTACTTCAAATTACTAAATCTGATATAATTTGAATAATGGCCAAAGAATAAAGCAAATTAATGAAAATTGAAAGGAGAATAAAGAACCTCACTGTTGAGTGTCAATTTGATTACCATTAGTTTGGGTATGATAACCAATCTATTGTTCTATAATAACTAATCCATTGGGACATGCACACCGCGGGGCAAATCAATAGACTTACAAATGAATGGAGCATTCTTACATAACCAGTTAATCAAACAATGTACTACAAGGGCAACTTTTGACTTGCCAATAATTACTGTGGCCTAACTTAAAGAGAAATGTCATACCTTATGTAATGATGAGCCAGTGAAGCTTGTCTGCTCCTCGTCATGACTGGAAGGGCTGCTAGTGTTGCTTGCTGACCCTGCCTTCCTTGAAAGACATTCCAGCTGCCTCTGTGAAGGGGAAAAGCTGAAGGGGGCTAACTGACGGTTGTGGTCAAGGTCAAGATCATTATTTTTAGAGTGTGGCTGTTTAAAATGGGATTTAGGTTGATGTTCCAGATGATCATTTTTGCTATGGTGATCTCCATGGTGATGCTGGTCCGGATTATTGTGGGCTCCATGGTGATGCTGATGGGCTTCACTATGGTGGTCGCGATGGTGATGCTGATGGTCTGCAAGTTGAGGTTGATGGTCAGGACTGTGGTGGTTGCCATGGTGATGCTGATGAGCTTTACTGTGGTGGTCTCCATGATGATGCTGATGAGCTTCACTTTGCTTGTCTCCGTGGTGAAGCAGATGGTCTGGACTGTGGTGGGCTTCATGGTGATGCTGATGAACTTCACTTTGCTTGTCTCCATGGGGATGCTGATGCTGTGGACTGTGCTTGTCTCCGTGGTGATGCTGATGGTCTGGACTGTGGTGGTCTGCATGGTGATGCTGTTGAGCTTCACTTTGCTTGTCTCCATGGAGATGCTGATGGCCTGGACTGTGCTTGTCTCCATGGTGATGCTGATGGTCTGGACTGCGGTGGTCTGCATGGTGATGCTGTTGAGCTTCACTTTGGTTGTCTCCATGGAGATGCTGATGGCCTGGACTGTGCTTGTCATCATGGTGATGCTGATGCTCTGGACTGGGGTGGTTGCCATGGTGATGCTGATGAACTTTACTGTGGTGGTCTCCATGGTGATGCTGATGAGCTCCACTGTGCTTTTCTCCACGGTGATGCTCATGCCCTGAATTGGGCTTTTCTCCATGGTGATGCTTATGGTCTACACTGTGGTGGTCTCCGTGGTGATACTGAAGAGCTTCACTGTGCTTTTCTCTGTGATGGTGCTTATGGTCTGGACTATGGTGGTCTTCCTGCGGATGCCTATTCGATTTACTTTGGTGGTTTACATGGTGATGCTGATGAGCTTTGCTGTGGTGGTCTCCATGGGTAACTCGAAGGTCTGAAGTGTCTCGATCTCGCTGGTGATGCTGATTGTGTGGACTGTGGTGGTCTCCATGGTGACGCTTATGATCTGGACTCTGGTCTCCATGGGGAGGCCTACAAGATTTACTGTGGTGGTCCCCATGGTGATGCGGGTGAGCTTCACTGGGGTGTACTCTATGGTGATGTAAGTGAGCTCCACGCTGGTGGATTCCATGGTTATGAGGAATTGTTGAGCCGTGGTGATCCCCGTAGTGACGTGGTGTCATAGGGCCTTCAATGTTTGGTTGGTTGCTGTGGCGGCGGTGAGCTGAACTGTGATGGTCTCCATGGTGATGTGTTGGTGTGTGGTGACCTTTACGATGTTCCGTTGTGAGGTGGTGGTTACCATGTTCATTGATTTGACTACGGCTTTGGTGGTCTCCATGCTGATGGTGAAAAGAAGATTTATTGTGGTTGCCATGTTGCGGATATATTTTTGCACTGTGATGCTCTCCGGGTTGGTTATTTTGGCTCGAGTGGTCTCCACAATGATGGTCTCCAGAGGGACGGCGGTGGGATGTGTTGTCATGGCTTTTGTGATGATGGTCATCATAATGGTAAGTTGGGCTGAAATTATCCTTATGGGGATAGACAGGACTGTGGCGATGTCTGTGGTGATGTTGATAAGAAGGGCTGTGGCAGTCGCCATGGTGATAATGATGACTGGAAGTGTGATGGTCTCTCCGGTGATGGTGGTGGTTGTGCCCATAGGACGGTGAATGGGAGCGGCGCTGGGAATTTTGAGACCATGAGTGATTTCTTTTTAAAGAGCTAACATCAATGCAGCTTCCAGGACTGTGGTCTATGCGATGGGGTGAGTCCGGAGAACGGTGATGGTGTCGGAGCGATTTAGAGGGACAATGACCTGAGTGTTTGCTGGTATGGGAATGCTCGCTGGACGTAACTGACTCTGCACTGGCATGCCGACTTCTCTGCTGTGTGTGTTTCTCTGTGCTTTCTACTCCTTTACTAGATCTAACAGAGACCCTCCCTGTACTCCGGAATCCATGAGCATTTGTAACCCCAAGAGTGGTCAGTCTCATTGGGCTGAGAACCTGCCGAGTGATCTCATTGAGGAACGCAGAGAACTTCATTTTTTCCTTAGTCAAATTCTTTTTAGCTTCTCCTTTTCCCCTCTCTAGTTCAATTCCATCTTCGTTTCCATGCCATTCCCTTTCTTTGGGCCGAGCGAGAGCCTCCATTGATTTGGCTTTGCGGAAACATCCATAATTTCCTGAGCCTCTTTTGGTTCTCTGTCTGTTCTTCAAGGTGCCATGAGTGGGGCCATTGTGAGAATACTTGCCTTTCTCCTGTTTGCCACTGTGCCTGTTTTGATGACCTCTTTTATCTATCAGAGGGGCTGTGTCGTTGTCTTCATTTGCAAAGTAGTTGTGCTTCCTGGAAATGTCTGTACAAGACTGTGAATGCTGGGGCTTCTCACTTGGATGCCTTTCTGAACACTTGTTGCTGGTGTCAGAAGACAGGCTTGAGGACGAGGAAGATGTTGAAGAGGAGGACAAAGAAGAAGAATTGGAGGAGGGTGTTGACGAAGAAGAAGAAGAAGTAGAAAAGGAGGAAGAAGAGGAAGGCGTTGATGGAGAAGAAGAAGAAGACGAGGAAGAAAAAGAAGAAGAAGAAGAGAAGGAGGATGAAGAGGAAACAGTTGAGAAACTCAGGAGACTTTCTGAAAGAGAAGCATGCCGATGGTTTTGCTCGTGATGGCTGCGGTGAGGATGATGAGTCTTGTCATTATCCCGCTGCCGTTGATGGTCGGGTTGATGATCACTAAAAATGCCTTCCAACACTAGATGGGTGCTAAGAGAAAACACAAGTGTTAAAGACACCCTGGATACCGATACAGTTGCTAAAGAAAATGATAACAGTGGCAAAAATGCAATATAATAAGAAGTAAATATATCTCTGGTATTGTAATTCTTCTAGGTAAACAAACGAAAATTTAAAAAAGAACGAAAGTTTTGAAAATCATATCATCTTCATCAACTGTGGAAAACATTTCCAAACTTACTCATAGCTAGCATTATCATCTGAATGATGTAACTTTTGACAATGATGAGGGCCTTGATTCAGGGAATGTTGCTTAATTTGCTGAGATTTTGAGTTAGCGGTCTTTCTGTGTTTGCAGTCTTTTTCTTGATGGTCGCTCATTTCAGTCTTGTGGCCTTTGATGCCTCTGGTGTGCAGAAGAGGATGTAAAGGTAAGAAATATTTCCATCAACTGCCGATGCAGCGGAGAATCGTCCGCAGAAGCTCGCACGATATTGATCCCTACGGAAATGGGAAATAATTCAGTAAGCAGTCAAAACTATTTTCCTGTTTGGTTACAGAAATAAAAACATGGCAATACATTTTTATTCATACTATTATTGCTGCAAATTATTAAAAAACAGGTGATAACATAATAGGTTATCAATAATTACAAAAAAAAACTATACCGGTTTACTACAGTAGTAACTGGATAGCTGCTCAGTTTTTAAATTTAATTAATTATTTAATTATAGCGTATTCATAAGGTTTCATATCTACTCTCCCAAACACATATGACGCTCTCTGTACTATGAATGCCAGTATAGAGGCAACTTACAATCAATTATATGTGCAAATGTCTTATGGATAATCTTGACTTTTTATAAACAAGAGGTCGACTGATGGGTTTCTAATACACTACAACTACCTGAACTCCCCTGTACATACCTGCACAATTAGCAAGCACTCATAGTATGCTATAATTAAAAAGAACACACATCAGAAATTATCCAGTAAGTTCAGCACATAAGGATGCATCGGTGATAACGCATGATTTATCACAAAACCTCATTTTTGGTGGTAAGAAAAGAGTAATGCGTTTTAATGAATTTAACACTATCGACTGCATCAAAAGTGAGAATTTCTATAATCAATTTGAAAAAATCATGAAGGTTTTATAACACCCACTGTTGATTGTTCCTGCAAATCATAATAAAACCTTTTGAAGGAATGAATAAAGAATGCATTATTAGAGATCATCAATATTTACTTCACTTCACGCTCAACACATAGTCACAACTATGATGTTTTTGTGTGCCACATGACGAATTAGAAATGCATTATAAGTCAGTACGAATGCCCTCGTAATTCACTGTGGTTGTCTTAGAAAGTGTTAGGTTTCTTATATATCTTCTTATATATTTTCTGCTAAATGTTAATTAAGGCAACGAGGTTACATGAGGTGCAAATAAATCACATGCATACTTTTGTTTAAAAATCAGCTCACAAACAGTGCTGTGAAACATGTTATCCCAAAAGAAGTTATCAGTTTTTAATGCAAGATAAATCTTATAACTCATATTTTTCATCATGAGGCCAATGTCTGTACTCACGTTTTCAAAGAAGCCTCGGGAAAATGACAGGCAATGGTCTTCATTGAAACACAACTATAATCTGTGATGATCCGCCGAACTGGTAGCCACATGTGAAGACCACTAGGACGAACTCATCAATATATAGTGCTGTGCCCTCCAATGACAGAGGGGACGGATGTTTCCCGTTGCTACTTTGAAATGTATCAATCAAGTTTATTTTTTTGTATATGACGACTCATGCTAGTAAGATATTGAACTATGAACATATTAATATCACCTAAAATACAATAATCAGATGATCAACACACAATTTACATTTGCATAAACTATAAAACAACATTTTTAATGGCTTTTTGGACATTGGCAGCCACATGAGTGATCCTAAATTTTCAATTAAATCTAGTAAATACTGTGTTTATTTGTTTTAGATTTCCTTAAAATTTAGGCTGGTCTTCCTCAATAATTTCTCAGCCTGTACATGGGTTACAACAAGGGGTGTTCTAATTGATAATAGAAATCCTCTCTTTTGATGCAGTAGAATGTGTTAAATGCATTACAACGCATTGGTCTTTTCTTACCACCAAAAATGAGGCTTCATGGATAACTTCTGATGTGTGTTCTTTTTAATAATAGCATACTACGAGTGGTATGTACAGGGGAGTTAAGGTAGTCTAGTATACTAGTATACTAGAAACCCATCAGTTATACTCTTGTTTATAACAAGCTAAGAACCAAAAAACTTTAAGGTAACAGATATTCTGTCCCACTTCTGATTGTCGTCATGTGAACAGAGGCGAGGAACTCTGTGCTGGCCACAAGATGCACGTAACTACAGTGTCAGGTTATTGATCCGGATGTCCCTATTATGTCAGAGCAATGGGCAATCTAATAACTCACAGCTGACAAAGACATTGAACTCCAATAGAGTGACAATTGCATTTACACATTACACGGCATATGAGGTTATATCACATATATATATATACACATAAATAATGTTATGATGTCAAGAAATATATCAGACATGACTAACCACAGCTTTGTGGCGTGTACGAGTGCAAGATCTGTCATCCTTGATGTCATCTTGTAGAGCGTGTGGTCGTTGCCGCTGGCAGGTTTCCCTCCATTAATGTGAAATGAAACAGATTCACAGAGAATCAATGAAAAAACGAACACTGCTCTGACTGGTTGGCCAACGAAATGGAAAGTTACATGAGGCAACCGGCATTCACACGTAATCACGTGGCGTATTGGGAGGGCGTTGTGACGAGGATTCCCAAGGACAGCGTGTGACAATGTTGCATTAAACAGGATGTCCAGTAATGATTGCAGCGCCCTCACTGTGAAACATTTTTTGTCAAATGCTCATCGTTGCTATACTTTCAGAAAAATAACATAATACCTATGAGTAGGAAATACTATTTGACCTCTGTACTCGTCCTTGCTATGAACTGTTTCAGGTTGAACAATACCGTCTCACAGTTGCAATCTATGGCCAACTGTTGGGATGACAAGATTTCACATCAGATCAAGGTTTATGAAGAAAAATGATTCAACTTTCAATATTGTGACAGTACAAGATGGAATAGTGAATGAACATTATTTGTTTTACTGTAGCGTAGAGCAAAGTGTGTGGGACTTGCGGAGGCCACAGACCTAACGCTGGTCCCTCTCACCCGATGTATTATTGTATTATTATTTCTGTAGCATTTGCGACTGTCTCGCAATAACTGTGTAGCTAATATTTTTAAAACTTAAGTTCAATTTCAGTTTGCTAGTTTAGTTCACTCTAGAAGTGAGCTTTTTGGCACAATCACATACCACTACTACTGCTACTAATACGTTTAAACTTTCACCCAAGTAAAAGTTGCAATACCACGGCGTAGAAATACTACTTTTTTTCTGATTATCTGCATCAACGAGGAGGAGGAGGGGAGATAAGTAGGGACTGGGTTATTTTTAAATAACAGCAATTGATTCAATATTATCTAAGTTTTTGTTTTATTGTGTTAATTTATTATTTTTTTTTACAGAATTTGATTTCAGAGGCCAATGCCGAAAAAAGTAAATCTTGACAAAGACTGTGATTTGAGAAAACAGTAAAATAATAAGTTAATTGCAGCAAGTTTTGTTTTATGTTTTAAGCTTTTTACACACGGTAACAAACTGCCATCAATTCTTTCGGTATATATAATTTCTGTGTATTTTGTAACGTTTCCATTTAATTTCTTGTTATCTATAACTGTTATGATCTTGTTTTTTAACTACGTCTGTGTGAACTTCACCACTTTTGTTGCTATAATCCCGTAAATCCCCCCCCTGCCGAGCTAATAAAGCATTTTACCACTTAATATTCATTGTCTTGAAAATGCAACTGACAAGTCAGATATTTTTCACTTAATTCTTCCAATACACAGGGGAGCTAATGGTCACTTTAATGGACATGGAAAAAACAATTAAATACTGACATTCTGTGGTATTACCATTTAATAGACAGTCAAATAAACATCAGGAAAATGTACATACAGTATGTATCGCAAATCTAAAAGCAATGCACTCAATTTCAGAAGTAATGCAGACACCCATAAATATTTATGTATTCATTTTCTGTGGGGCATATTTGATTGAAGTCGTGAGGGCCACATCATCTCTAAAGGAGAAAACTCTACAGCCGCTCAAAGCAAATCTGCGAGAGGAGTCAGTTTACAAACAGGTCAACGTTACTCAACGTTTATGCAGCGGATCACATACATGTTGACTTGTCTTTCAGCTAACCGTGTTCTTTCCACATCCGAAGGGTTTATGGAGTTTCTACTGCACTGAGATAAAAAAAAAAATCAACTAACAAAGATCACGTACAACTTGGAGTTAGATTTGTGAACATAAATACTACCCCTCTTCAGAACAATAAACAGCTTTTACGTGCACCTGCCATTGGTCCCCCTTTGCGTTTGCGAGTTGCTTTACTTGGATCAGAGGAAACTTGTAAATGTTGTGAGCCGCCTTTATGGTCTGTGAAGGTCCGCGCCATGTTGCTAACGCCTGATGCCAGAGATTGCATCCAGTACAAAAAAGGTACAGCGTCTCGTTCTGTTTTCCACTCAAGTTTGGTAAGAGGCTCCCTCTGCTGTGCTAACCAGGTATTAGAAAGTCCCATTTCAGCTTGTTCGACACAGGCTTATATTGTGTAACACAGAAGGTAAAGGCGGAACCAATGCTGGTCATCAGTTTTTCCCCACACGAATGTTAGGGTTAAGAAGAGGATCTAAATTTGGGTCGGAGCTAGCGGAGGCGCGTCCGAGTTTAGCCATGATGATTATCAACGTAAAGAATCCCAGGACTCCCACCACGAGGAGCATGAAGACCCGCTGCTTCCAGGACAGAGACGTTCGCTTTCCACCTGTGCGATTTCTGACGAGATAATGAAAATGACAATAATTAGGGAACACAATAACATTTGCATAGAAATTTGTTCATAGTGCATAGCAGATCGTGATACTAACTTGAGAATTTGAGCAAACCAACTTAACGCTGGCCGTCTGCGGTACTTGTCATCGTCAAAGTCAATCTGGGTGACAGAGCTGTGATCGATGTCCCGCGTGTCGTAGATCTTTCTGGGCGACGATGCTGGAGAATAATAAAGAATGTATTATGATGGCAGGCTACACAAAAGGTTAATTCTTCAGTATGTGCTAAATATAATTTCTTCACTTTAAGGCCCTTTGTAAAGATGGGCATTACTTAAAGAGCAGCAAGCGTGAGATTAAGAGGGCCTTGCATTGATTTACCTGTGTGTAGTGTAACTGTGTCACGTGTAGTGTCATTAGGGAAGTTGACCATAGACTGCTCTTGCATATTTGGGTCCCCATTTTTACGAGGACCTCCGAGGTCTTCCTGTGCCTGAGATGGGACGGGATGTGGTGGAGGGTTGAGGCTGGCGTCGGAAGACTGGTTGGGGTAACAGTTACTTTTTTCTTGAGCTGTGGAAAGAAAGAAAGTTTTGGATTAAACCACTTGAATGATGTTGTGTAATTAACAGCTAAAACTGTTTTGAATTTAAATAAAGTGGACTTTGAGACTCACCATCAAATGTTGACCAGTCAGTGTAATCAGTGATATTATTAGCTGTGGTCTCCTCAACGATCCCAACGGGCTCTTCAATCTGTCAGTCCAACATGACATTTTATTAACATCTTACAAAATCTGTATGCTTTAAAGTTTATGTAAAAAAATAATGAAAATGTGATTGTTTTTCTGGAGGTCTATCTAATGGTTTATAAATCATGATGCAACAGCAATAGTCCGTTACCAGCGGCAGCCCTAAACCTGCTCTAGCCCAGTTAACAGACGACAGGTGTTGTTTCAGCACATCGGCAATTGGGCTGGCAAGGTTGGAAGGGGGAAACACTGGACCCTGACAGGTGGGGCACTGGTATCCCGCTGGAGCCGTATGGAGGGGCAGCCGAGAGGCCAAGTTATTAAGACAGGACCAGTGAAACACATCTGGGGAAGAAAGAAAACAGCTTTTTCAGCGACAATGCTGCATTGTCTATTTCTCTTAAGACAAAATTAGATGAATATCCATTGCTTATCATCTCTAGACGCAAACAATAAAAGGAAAAAATGTTTACTGTACATTCATTTCAGTTAAAAATTGGTGTATTTGCGTAACACAAGTGAATATATGTATTCTCAATGGAGTTCATACTGAACAGGAGGATAATCTTACCATAGCAGACCAGCCTCACGGTGTCTTGAGCATTTAGTGGATGATTACACAAAGTACAGTTGGGGTTGTAATCGCTGTCCTGGAGCCATTGCAAATATGACTGGACGATACACTGTAGGGCACCAAGTGAAAATACAGAAGTTTAATGAGATGTGATCTTTTATACAAACATAGATGGATATGAATAAATACTCATTGACTCACTGACCTTGTTGTGGTTGGAGACCAGGCAATGCTCGCACACATTTACGCGATGCTCAAAGCAGAATAAATTGGTCACTTTTCTCTTCGGACACTTGCAGAGACCCATAGCCACATTCGCTGCGTTGCGGCAAAACAAACAGAAATGCAGGTTTAATATGAATGCAAAC